TATATATTAAAGAAGCTAGTTAGTAATAGGTAGTTAAAGATATAGATAAATAAATAGGTTTTTTATATATAATAGACTATATAAGTAAAAAGTATTAAATACTTTTTAGCTTCTTGTTTTTATTATATTTTTTAGCTATTCTTTTAGATATAAATAATAAGGGATTTTTAGCACTATAGAAAGTTACTAGTGTTATAATGTTAACTATTATAGATAAATATTAGAGTTATTAGGTTAACCCTAATGACTTATTACTAGTAAATCCTTAGATATTTAGCTATAGATTCTCTAAGGATTTATAGGCAATAAGTTAGTTATTTAACTAACTAACCTATAATAATTATCCTTCTTTTCTTTACGTATAATAGAGAACTATAGTTACCCCTATTATTTATTAATTACTACTAATATATATAGTTAACTATATTAACCTATCTCTTAGTGTTACTAATAATTTATTATTCTTTTTACTAATAAAGAGGTTAATAACTAGTAAAATAAGTTTACCTTTTATAGTAATATCCTCTATTTCTTATTAACTAAATCTAAATAAGTAATATAAAGTGTTCTTGTATTAAAAGTCTATAGTATAGTTATAGGCGTTAATATAGTGTATACCCTCTCTATAACTATTATAATAGTAGTAAATAAGCTTAGTAACCTATTAATCTTTACTATTACTTACACTAACTTATACTTACTATATAAGTGCCTAGTAAAGTTAGGTACTACTTATAAGAAGCGCTTAATAATTAATATTATAGTACTATAATAATTATATAAGTAATATAAGCTCTTTAAGGTATAATAGATCTATAGTAATAATAACTTTACTAATAGGTTTATAAAGTCTTTACTAAACTAAGCACTTAAGAGCCTTCTCTTTTATAATAAGGCAAAGATATAGATAAAGAGATAGGTTATATATATATAATAGAAAACAATAGGATATAGAATAATAAGCACTTAAAGAAAAAAATAGGCTATATAAACTATATAGATTAATAGTAGTTAAATCTATTTAATATAGGTATATACCTTTAATAGCTATAGCTAAAGAGAAAATACACTTAAATAAGATAGTATAAGCCTACTTTTACTAAGTAAATAGATAAATAAATTTATAGTAGTATATAACTATAAAAAATATAATACTTTTACTTTTCTTGTTTTATTACGTTTTTAGGCTTTTTAGAAGAAATAGGAGCACTAGTAACTTTTACTACACAAGAAAGTTGCTAGTGTTAGTATATAGGTAATATAGCCAGAGGCAGTAGGTTATATAACACACTGCCTACTAGCAGAATCCCCTACCTTTGCCTATACGCAAGGGTGCTACTACACTTGTGCGCCTACTTCACCTTGTTAACTAGTCAACTATCAACAACCACAAATTTGACCACCTTTTCCCAACCTTCGTGATATCACAAGATACGGGATCCCATTAATTAACTAGTGAAAACCAACAGTTACACACACACCTGTACAAAGATAGATAAATATGTATCCATAGGTAACCGGGTTTTGAATATATCATGGATATTAAGGTCAATATAAGTAATTGGCTAACCATCTCAACACATCATCGTCATTCGTCAAGACCTCCGCCTTCTAGTTCATAACCTTGACGTGACTACAGGTTAGACGAGCATACAGCGGGCGAAATGGCTCAGGAAAGGTAACGCCTAAGGCCTCGGCCAAGCCAACATGTATCTATCACCGGTTCCTACTAACTCACCTCCCCTTTCTACTCCTTGACATGTTTATTCTCCAGCCTATTGGAGCTCATGACCTAGGGAAGAAGAAGCATGTCTTACATTACAAGTCGTGTCTCCAAAGCTCCGGCGCCGAAGTCAAGGGGTCACTTGACCATCTACCCAATCGAAAATCCCAATCTCTCTCCAAGCGTCTTAACCTCTAATTGTTTCATCGCTTCTTAAGTCGGACTTGAGAGGTTCTACAATTGCGTAAGGCCTGACGTCAGCATCTAACGCTTTGGTTACACCTTGCCCCGTTTGCTATTACCCACATCAGGGATTCCCGCCCCTCGAATCTTTCCCATAGCGACAGACTCTCTTCTGAGCACCCGGGGCTAAGGAATGAGCGGGTTTCGGTAAAAGCCCAGCCAAGCTGAACTTCCCCAGTCGGCTATCGCAGGAAACACGTAAACTGGCTCGATCTCAGATCCAAGGCCAAGGCTGGGAAAATGTGAAGGGTTACGCACCAAGTGAGTCTGCAAGACGTAACTGGCGACGATCCGTAACCCCGCCCAGGTTCCCAGAAGCGAATTAACTTACTCGTGCTCGGCCTGCGTGTTCCACGTCGTTTTGTCCCGCGGAGTGGCAGAGGGGGGTGGGAAACAGTGCGACCCCGTTCACCGGGGTACCATCGATGAAGATCGTCCGATTACAATTACGATGAGCGAAAGCTGTTCCTGAAGATCCTTTCAAGCCCAGCTTTTTTCTGCACAGTGAGATGGAACGCCAAAAAGAAGGAATGCCAATGAACGACATGGTAATCTTGAGAAAGGACGAATACCCATCTCTGCTCGCCACTTTGCGGCCCCAAACGGGGCCGAAATGCATGTTTGGGCAGGGAAACCCCAGGGGGTGAAACCGCCACTCGCGCAGATGGCGACGGTTCGTAGCCGACAGACAGCGCACGGGTTTTGGGGCGGATGGCTGTACAGGCAGTGTACCGGTAGTACAAGTGCTACTAAGTGAGGTTGCGGTGAAAGTAATAAAGCGCTATACGACGTCAAACGGCGTAAAAAAAAAAAAAAAAAAAAAGGGTCGCCGCTTGCGTCTAGGATCGAGATGACGGAGAATTTAGCATAGACTTAGGCCCTGATCGGCAACGGCGGGAATGTTGGATAACGCGCCAACTTGGATAACGTGAGGGGAAATATTAGTCAGAAACTGAATAAATGCAGCGCTAGGCCAAAAAGGGGCCCTTTTTCATTAGCAGAGTTTGTCCATAAGAAACCTTGCTATTTTAACATGTACCTTAATAAGAATAACTTTTCTGCTGCCTAAAAGAGGGGAAATATTAAATAACTGCCCTACTGCTACCTATTTTATTATAAGGTCTTTATAAAGTGCCTATAATAATATTTAACTGTTATCTAACTTAGTAAAACCTTAGGTAGCACTTTATAATAGATTATACCTAACTATTAGTAGTTACTATAGCTAATACTACTACTATTATAACTATATCTAGCTATAGCTAGCTAGTAGTTAAGAAAGAGGTAGTTAATAAAGGTAGTATAATAGAGGTATAGTAATTTTACTAGTAGTTACTTAATAAGTTATATTATTACTTCTATAACTCCTTTTATATAAGTAAAAAGTAGTTTTATATACTTATAAAGTAGCTATAAAATAATATACTACTATAGTTATTATAATAGTTAATAGTTAAGTAGAAAGTACTTATTTATCTTTATATCCTTATAATTTAGGTATTATAATAGACTACTAGTTACTTCTTTAAGGTTAGCTAGTTAACTATCTTAGTAGTATTTAATAAAGTTATACTATACCTTATTATCTTTTATAAGGTATATATAAGAGGGCTATTAAAAGGTAAAGTCTTACTTAAAGTAGAGACTAATAAAAAGAGGAAAAAATTTACTAGTTATATAGGCACTATTAATAAGACCTTAATACCTATATACCTACTAGATAATAAATAACTTATATAGTAAAGTTATAAGGGCACTATATTATAAAATATCTTTATAGTAGTCTACTTTAATAAGAGCTTCTTATATATACTTACTAGAGCTAAAGGATTAATCTATAATATAAGCCTACTTATATATACCTTTAACAGAGGATTTAGTGTCCTAGAGGGTTAATATTTCCTTGTAAATACTAGGTTTAGTAGATAAAGTAGTATTATAATTCCCTATAGTTAAATATATTATTATCTATAAGACTAGAGAGATTCTAATTAACTACCTAAAACAGCAGAGGAGCTATATAACTTACGCTATAGTTGCTTTTGCGTTATAGTTAAGTAGGTCTTTAGCTAGTTAAAAAGAAAGTAGTAGATCCTTAGTAAGTAGGCGCTAGAGTATAAGATTATAACCTAAGTAAAAATTATATATATAGTTATAGGCCTATATAACTTCCTTATTTATTATTATAAAAAAGGGATTAATAAAAGGAAATACCTAAGGATATTAATGTTATTATAATTAAAAGTAAGGCTAACTAGTTATATAAAGGGTAAAGTAAGGTTATTATTTACTAATAGATAGCAGAGGAGTTATAGTAACAGTAGCTAATAAGAAGGTAAAAAAGTATAGTTTTTTTTATATACTATAGTAGGTAAAAAAACATTAATAACTAGTAACTATTTAACTTATTTAACTACTGTTTTTTAACTTATCTAACTACCTTTTTTAACCTATTTAACTACTGTTTTTTAACCTATTTAACTACCTTTTTTTAACTTATCTAACTACTTTTTTTTAACTTATTTAACTACCCTTTTTTAACCTTTTGTCTACTAGGTAGTAATATAGATAATATATGCCTTTTTTAGCTAGTTGTTTAGTAAGGAGTTCTAATATACTACTTATAGTACAAGTGACCCCTTTAGCTTTATTACTAACGTTAAAGATATAGTAAGGTAGACTATAGGGTCTAGCTTCTCCTTAAACCTTACTAAGTTAGCCTATGCATAGGTTATTATAACCTCTTACTATATTAGCTTATCTTATATATCTTTATTTTTTACTACTATTATATAGTACCTAAATTACTATAATAATTAGCCTATATATATACTAGCTTTAGTGCCTAAGGGAGCTTTACCTTACTTTTAAACTAGTAGAAATAGAGATACTAGTAACTATTAGCGCTAAATTAGGCTTAAGGTATATTCTATTAATAGTAACACTAGTAATACTTAACTAGGCTAATTTAATAATATAGTTTTATTAACACTGTCTTCCTCCTTATTATAGGCACTTTCTTTTTTACCTAAAGAATCTACCTCTTGTAATAATTTATCTATAGACTAAATATTATTACCTTTACTATATATAGTACTCTATATCTTATAGTATAGGTCTAGTGGCCTTAACCCTCTTTTAAATACCTATTTACACTATAGGTAGTTAGTAAGAAAGGCTTCTTTAGCCTCTTTAGTACAGAGGACTTTACTATTATTAGTATATATATTACCTAATTTATAAGTAATACTTGCCTAAGTATTATATCTCTTCCTCTTAACGTTATACTTATTACCTAGCTACTTACCTATTATAGTACTATAAAACTAGTAGTATAAATTTATTTACCTAGTAAGCTTATTAAAGGCTAGCTTTTATATAGCTGCCTTAAGGGTATTTAGCTTCTAGCTTTAGTAGAGTATAACAAGCTTAGTTATAAAGTAGTAGGTTAAGTTAGTATTCTATAGTATATAAAGCCTTTTTTTAGCTTAACTAACACTTCTAATAGACAGTTATATATTATTGCCTTTATTTACTAAAGAAGGTATAACTTTACTGCCCTTGTTACTTGTACCTGGCTATAGCTATAGCTACGCCTGCTTAACTCTTTTTTGCCTCTTTGGCTACCGCAGTGGCACTACGCTTTCAGTCAAGTCTTTAACAATAAGTGTAGCAACAACTATACTATCGTTATTAATTAATAAGCCCTCTTCTTACTACTAGTTATCTATTATAGTATTTAATAATAATAATAACAATAATAATAATAATAATAATAATAATAACTTTACTTATAACTTGTAAAGTATAGCTAGCATTAACAGTATCACAAGGAGGAGTAATAAAGCTTATCCTACGCAGCAAAAGGAAGGCAGTGAGGTAAGTAATTAGGCATAAGGATGGCAATAGTACATCTTGTGGGCCAAGGTTTCACTTGGCAGCAATTAGCTAATCAATAAGTAGCTCTTATTCGAGGTACAGGCTGTTATCCAACTTCGCCGCCGTTGCTGATCAGGGCCTTAAGCATGCAAGCGGCCGCGAACAGGCGGCGGCGGCGCCAAAGCTCGAGGCCACGGGCGGCTGCCAAACGCTAGTCGGGGCAAAACCCAAACAGCTAGAAGAGCTCGCTACGTTTGCCCTCAACGGCCCAAACAGCCGCGAGACCTAAGCCACTTTGTATACCTCCTCATCATCTTCGCCCTTTTCGAGGCCGTGCTTCGTGGGCTTGGTGATTTCCCCCCTCTTTTGGAGCCCGAAGCATCCAGAGACGGCATAGCTTGACCGCTGAAGGAAGGGGGCTAACCAGGACCCTGTAAACAACAAAAAGAGCGCAAAAAAACATGGGACCGAAGGGAAAAATCGAGAAAGACACGCACCTACCCACGCGGCTAACCCAGCGGCAGCACCGGCGCCGTTTCGGGTTTTGCGGATCATCCGGCTTCCGACGCTAGCGCACCCGCCGAAGATCCTCATCTCGGGGGGCGGAGGGATCTCGGACGAACGCGCCAAAAAGTGCCCACACAAACCCTCCTCCATCCTCCATCCTCCATGTTTCGGCCGCAAGGCAAGGCAAGGCAAGGCAAGGCAAGGCGTGCAGCCGCCGGCGCGTAAGCACGGGTGGAGGACGTAATGTATGTAGGAGCTGCCTTTCCCCACCCCGCTGGGTCCCAGCTTCCCTGTTGCCGTTGATCGCATCCGTGAGTGCGAGATGGTGGCGGCGCCGGACGGCAGGGAGAAAGCTGTCCCGAGCTGCCCGATGCGGTCAAGTTCCTGAACATCTCCGACGCCGACGTGCCAACCTGTTGTGAGCCGCACGGGGGCCAATGACGAGGATTCCAGAAGGAAGAATCGCCCACACTCCGTGCGGTATGTGGTAGGGTATATCGCCATGCACAATTCGTGATGTGCAATGACGCCACGCGTGACGAAGAAAGACGATTACAATGATGGTATTTCTGAACCCTAAACGAGAAAGGACGAAAAAAAAAAAAAAACCACGCTCGGTTCGCTCCCGGTCTATACCTCGGCGCCCCCCCCTTCCCCCTTTCTTCATGTGTCTACCTCACAGCTCGGCGCTCCGGCCCGTCAACATCCGATTCCGCGCGAGCACCTGGTCCACCAGCTCTTTGCCGGGGAAGTCGATGATGACGACGCCGGTCTTGCCGCTGTCGGCGCGGTCGGTGGTGGCGGCAAGCCAGTCGCCGGTGCGGTCGTTCATGCCGGCGACGGTGCGGTTCAGGTTTCCGGCGGCGGCCTCGATGGGGAGCACGCCGACGGAGGCGCTGAGGTGGGCGAGGTACAGGACGCGGTTGACGCGCTCCTTTGCGGTGGCGGCGCGGCGCAGGGCGTTCTCGATGGCCTCCCACTTCATGTAGAGGTGGTCGATGCTGGGGATGATCCAGAGGTCCTCGAGGACCATGTCGGCGGACTCCCAGATGACGCCGTAGGGGCTCTCGGGCCCCTTGGCGGCGAAGTTCTGGAGGAGGAAGACCTTGCCGCGGAGGGCGCCGAGGGTCGGGTAGGGCGCGTGCGGGTTGTGCTTGCGGAAGTGGGCCTTGGCGCCGGGGGCGGTGGCGGTGGAGTTGTGCAGATAGAAGTTGAAGGCGTCCTCAAAGGTCATGGTGTTGGAGCCGAGAGGCCGGCCCTCCTCCTTGAGGCGCATGACGACGGTCTCACTGGGGTGTTCGTCGAGGAAGGAGAAGACGGTGAGGAGGACGTCAGTGTAGGAGTAGCCGGTGGGCATGGATCCGTGGTAGATGCCGATGGTGTCGTTGATGAGGCGGCCACGGATGTCGAGGTAGCGCATGCCGGCGTGCAGCTGGGTCGAGAGGTTGTGGTTCTGGCACTGGAAGACCTCGTCTCTGAGATCGAAGGTCATGGTGTCGTGGGTGCCGGGGATGGACAGGCTGGTGAGGTTGGTGTCATCCGGGATGGCGCGCATCCACTCGGCGTGGTCGGCGCGGTCGACGTCGAAGGAGAAGTGGGACTCATAGCCGCGGTAGCAGTGGTTCTTGGACTTGACGAAGCACGGCGCCAGGGACAGCAGGACGGAAAAGAGGCCCGAGATGAGGATGAAGAAGGTGAGGACGTAGAGAAGGGGCATGCAGTGGAAACGCATCTTGGCGCCGTGTGAGTGGATGAGTGAGGGGGCCGGCTATGCTGTATAGCGAGAGTGAGCAGGCTGCTGTTGTGCAGTGGATGAGCGAGACACTCGTTTTGGCGTGAGTAAACGAGTGAGCGAGGTCGCACAAGAGTGAGTTGCGCGGGCGGGACGAGATCCGAGAGGTCCGCGATGCACGGATGAGGCTCAAGGCGCGGGTGAGACGCGGATGACGGAGTCCTGCAGTCCCTCCGGCACGGAAGCCCACCCCGTAGAAGCTGCACCTCGGGGGGGGGAGGAAGCAACGGAAACAAACAAGCAAAAAACACACAAGGCGGAAAGGAGACGACGATGCTGACCCAGTAGATAATCAGATAAGGAATGCAAGACTCGGAAAGATATCTACCAAGAGAAGGAAACTATTCGCTCTTTCAACGCTTCAATGGGAAATTCAGGGGGTGATGTTCAGTCAGACCGATGCGTCCCAGAGCCTCCAACGCACCCCGCGGCTTTACTTGGGGCCGCCACGTGCGCGCGGCAGCACTGAAGACCGCACCAACGTTGTTCCGGGCCTCGAAGTTCGCCTCTGGTCGGGACGCGGGAGGCTCAAAGCGTCGTCCTCTTGTTTCGTCCCCCCCCCCCCGAAATCATAACCACTGCCAGCACTTCATGCGATGATGGATGAGGTTCAAAGGGTGAAATGGGAGAAGGAAAAAAAAAAGGAAAAAAAAAAAAAAGGGCTCAGCTCACCCTCACCGAAAGGTGTGATATGGCGTTGTAGCACACAGCTAGGTACCCAGGTTAGTAAGTTCCAAGGTGAAGTTAAAAGAGGAAGAACTATCGATAAGGTGCAGGGTGACAGATAAGGCCCCCCGCAAGAACTCTAGCTCGGATCCCCCGGGGAGTTGCCGGGGGGAGCGAACGTAGAATAGCACGGCGATCGGCCCAGGGCACGCGGTCTCGGAGCGACAACGGCAGTGTGGCCGCATCACCCACCATAGGACAATGACACTTTCGGCAGCCACCTCTGCCCGTCCGTCTCCTCTTTTTCCTTCTCCCTCGCAAGGGGTATTGAACCTGTCTGACCGCCATGGCGACGTCCTGCCTTGATTCGGGGTTGCACGATGACCGGACGTGAAACTCACGGAGGGGAAGAGGAACATGCGGTTTGGGGGGGGGCGTGCAACATCTACACACTCGAGCGAGAGACCGTACCAACAAGCACCGGGGAAGTAGGTTTGCTGGGACCCTGGGGGGGCACCCTGGCCGCCCTCGTTATCCACTGGACGGCGAGGGGGTTTGGAAGTCGTTGGTATACCTGACGCCCGGCCACTTGCGTTACTGTTCTCCAAGATGTGCTTTCCAAGGACATCCGTCTGCAGTTTGGCAGAATGTTCCCAATATCTCTCACGCCACACGATGGGCCGCAAAAGTAGCGCCATGCAGCCGGTCCCACAGAGCCACCCCCCCCGCCGCTTCTCCATGTGTCCAGGAAACTCTGAGCAACCAGCGCACAGAATAAGACCTTCCAGCCTCTCTCTGTCTCTGCCTATCTCTCTATGGCGCCACCGTGGGAACCGAACCCCTCTTCTCCCCCTCCAAACCCGCCGGAAACGGCGTCCGTCGCTTGCACCTCGGCGGCGCGGGGGCATACATGGCATGTCACTTTCGCCTTCTCGAGCACACCTATATAGGTAACGTGCAGTATGTCGCGGACCCTTTCTCCCCCGGCGGTGTACGCACGTCCGCAGAGGTCATGAGCGAAAGAGTTATTGTTTCGTAACAAGAGGTTGCCTCTGCCAGTCGTTGCAAGAGTGCACCCGGCTTGACGGTGACATAGTTGACAGGATAGCTATGTAGGCACTCCGTACAGGTAGATGCTATGCCCCCAATCAGTACGTACCAATACACAAACACAGCCAGGCTCACGGTGCTGACTAAAGGCCGTCACCGCATGCCGCCCCTTCATCAGTCAACAAATACCGTACGCGCACACAAACCTCAAGACGAACAACAGGTGCCGTTGCCGGTCGGTTCTCTCGCTGGAACCCCATCATGCCCGCGAGAATCGAGGACGTCAGCAGTCCTCTCGCCAACTGTCAAGGTTTCCCCTAGATCAACTCGTCATCGCGTGCCTCTGGGCGCCCTTGTTGTAAACCTGGTGCATCGCTAGGCGCCCCCTCCTCGAGGTGATTGTCTGGTGTCTAGCACCCTTGGTCTGTCGTCTAACCATCCTCCCGCCAACTTCCCGTTGCCCGGCGGCGGCGCCGGATCGTATCGCGAAGCACCGCATGACTGGATTCCTCGCCGAAGAAGAGAGAGGCGACGAGTCTCGTGGGACGCCTTACACACCCAACCCCCGGTGCCGCTTGCCGACCTGCTATGCATTCGTACTCTTCTTACCGCCGTAAGCCCCGGGAGCTGGTTTCATGTGATCTCTCGCGCCTCGTATCCCGTCAATCTGCCATCCAACGCCATATCGCCCATCCCTTTTGCATGCATGCATGCATTACCACCCACACCACCACCACCCACACCACCACCACCACACTCCCTTGCGCAAGGCCGCCGACTACCACCCACCATCAAGGGGGGGGACCTCACGTCGGCTTTCTTCACATCTATTCGCCAATCGCGCTCGCTGGGTTTTTCTTCATCTTGATTCCCCCCCTTTTTTTCGACAACAAGAGCCTCCATGGGCCGAACACCGTCACCAATCATCGTCTCGCTTGGCGGGACAACTTTTTTCTCTCTCTCTCTCCTCGCGCGCCCCAGGGTGCCGGCCGGGGGAACAATCCCATCGCCACATTGCACCTTTAGCAACGTTAGTGCGTGTGTCGGGTCAGAAAAGATCGGGGATAGGGGGGTTCCTTAACGGCGGGACAGAAAGATGGGGCGGGAAAAAAGAAACAAAAGAGGAAAAGGAAGAAGAAGGATTTGAAAACTACTACCGATATGTAGAGCAAAGATGGTGTAGACGACGGTTTCTAGGTACGACCTTGTTCGTTCCCTGTGGCCCCTCCTCCTCCTCCTCCTCCTCCTCCTCCTCCATCAACCCCCTCGCCCCCCCTACCGGAGGAGACCCCGTGGGAGTTCTCACTGGTTATCGGGCCTTTACAAGGTTGATTCCTGTCCGTCGCCAGTTTGAAAAGAGCTCTGCACGCCGCTTTCGTTGCTGCGTTGCCCCGCATCGGGTGCTGCACGACGACCAATTGACTTTACTTATTTATTCATTCCTTTCCCCTCTTCTCTCGAAGGCACCCCGTCGCGTGCTTGCTCGCTTTCATTTTCATTTCCATCTTCCATCTTTTCTTCCTTCATCTCTTCACCGGCGGAGGGGGGGAAGGCGACTCTGCCTTGCATACCTAGTTTACCTGGCATGCATGGGACGAACCGCCGGTTCGGCCGCGCCCGGTTGGCGAGGAGCATGCAGCCAGGCTGCGACTGCAGCACGACTCGGCGTGAACGACGCACGAACGGAGCCCGTGAAGCTAGTGTAGGTAGCGTGGGGTTTGTCTCGCTTTCCCGCTGTCTCTACCGGTACTCCCTATACCCTGCACGACTCCCCTGTACTTCTTAGATAGGAATACCGTAAACACTGGCTAAATTTGACCACCTCCACTTTGCAAGCTAACGGCAACAAGTATCGCGGCCTGCTGTGAGGGGTATAGTCTGCTGGCAGAAACAAGGATCTAGATGTGGCAGATGCAGGGGTTAGTCAACGTCAGCAGCAAGTTTAGTGGCAAGGGTTAGGGTTAGGTAGGTGGATGGGTGGATGGGTGGGTTGACCGCCTTCTAAAGAAGGTTTAGCGTAGTCAGCGGCGGCGATACTCGTTGCCGTTAGCTTGCAAAGTGGAGGTGGTCAAATTTAGCCAGTGTTTACGGTAGTACTATGTAAGCTTGGTGACCCCTCAGAACAAGAGGGGACTAGCTGGATCCGGCGCAGCATCGCGCATGCGTTGCGGCAGGAAGCCCAATCGGTGCTGAGGTTGCGCGTTCTCTGGTGGGATGGGATCGGGTACGAGTAACCCAGGTGCACACGCGAGGCTGGCGATACGAACCAAACTGCATGTCATCCCCATCGCATCGTCTGGTGTGTCTGTCTGGCGTGCCCATGAAGCTGATGTCTATATACTCAGTAGGCAGCGGTGGGACGAAAGCCGCCTCACCTCCCGGCATGGCATGGAGGAACCTCAAAGCCGGGCTGCAATAGACGGCGCGACGAACGTGGTGCCGCGGTGGATTCTCGCGCATCTTGATCAGGGTCTCGGGGTAGCTGTGGTACTCGAGGCATCATATTGTATCGGATGACTCTTGAGCTCCTGTAGACGCTCTTCGTCTTCTTCGGAATCTTCTCTCGTCCGGGGCCGAAGCAACGAGGAACACCGCGGCACGTATCCCCACCGTCATACTGTCGAGGAGAGTTTTTATTTCTCCGGAAATGCTCCCAAATCGGGAAAGATGACCTGCTACTAAGCGGTTTGAGAAGTGCCTCGACATTCGGCTTCGAGATTGGAGTCGCTGCCCCCCGGCCCCTAGGCCACCCCATGTGGGTGCGAACGTTGGATACAAGCAATGATGGCCGCGAGTGTGCTGGAAACGGGTTAGACACCTCTTCGACTCGCCTGTGATCCCGGTAGGCCATCTTGGCAGCATGGCGGAATAATTTGTCAGTTCAATCGTCCAGTCTTTCCTTTCGCAATAGACTATGATTTCGTGTTTCTTTCTTTCTTCTCTTTCTTCTTCTTCTTCTTCTTCTCTTCTCTTTCTTTTGCGTATACGGCAAGGATTACAACCGAGACGCCCGACTCAGAGTGTGACAACTGCAGGCACAAAAAGCGATCCAAGAGCCAAGACTAAGACTAAGTCAATAAGGGTTGCTGCGAGTTTGGCGCCCATCCCCCTGGAAGGAGGCGCTCCTCTTGGCTATAGCTCAGAAAATCGAGCGAATGGTTTCAACGGCTAAAGGGGCAATGATACCCTTGCGGCGAAAGAGAACGCGCTGAGTGGTGTAACCCGATGCGGCGTCTTGGGTCACGATGAGAGGGATATAACCACAAAAACAAAAAACAAAAATAGAAAAGAGGGAGAGAGAGAGAGAGAGCTTTCTGACGGGAGTGGCGGGCTAGGGTAGGAAGCCGTAATGCTATGGTGTCGTCGAGGCGTGAATGGGAGTGGGACTTGGAAAGGGAGCAGAGGACCGTGATAAATCATGGAATCATAGAATCGTGGAATATGGCCGAATGAACAGGCAGAATGGAGGCTAATGGAAGAGAGATGACTCGGCGTGCCAGCGGTCTGCGGATACATAGTTCCGCCAGGAACTAGAAAAGGTTTGGTAGATGAGAAGGGGTTATCGCGGACGGGGGAAGAGAGCGGGAGACGACGCCCCCCGGCCGCTAATCAATGACCCAGGCAAGGTAGGGTGTTATAACCATATAGTTTACTTTAGGCTCGTTGATGATGGTTTGCGCGCGTAGTCCGAAGCAGCCGGCGGTCCCGGGCTCTGTTCTCGCATTGAGGGTCTTCCCTATGTGCAAGACCCGCAGGCAAAGCTCGAACCAGCACACGCAGCCGCAGGCGATGCCCGTACGAATGGAGGTTGTCCAGGAGCCCAAGAGGCAAATAAGGGGGGAAACAGCGTGGGCGCCCTGCGACGGGACAAGAAAAGAACGGGACAGCACGCTTAAATGGTGGGTGGGTGGTGATGGGGGGCATCACGACTCGGAAAACCTAGGCGTGCCCTGCGCTGGGATAGGTGGACAGGATAAGCAACGAGATGAAGGGGCTGCGGTCAATATCGAGATCCGATTGAAGGAGGGTTGGGGGTGGTATTCAATCAAAGCCCCAAACGCGCACGCTGCATGGCATGGGTGCATTCGAGTTTGTGTACCTATTTTACACCAGCGCGCACACGCATGTATCCGTACTGTACTCGGGGCAAACACTTATGAATGGCCAGGAAAGACGAGGCGATTGCGGGTTTTTGTTCCAAAAGTAGCAGGCTGGACGGATGGGCGGCAATCCACTGAGTCAAGATGATCGCTGTGGGTGTGTGTGTGTGTGTGCGTGTAGGTAGATGGTATCTGGTGCTTGCAGCTGAGACGGCGGTTCGCTTTGGAGGGAGTACATACGGCATCGGAATGCAGGCATCATGCCTCTTGGATAAACATCATTTGGGACAGGCACGGCACAAGCGCAACCAAACCTCTCTGCTCCTGCCTGCCCTCTTGTGTTGTTTTTATGCTTTTTGTGCCAGATCAGATCAGATGCGATGCACCCATCATCGAATCTTGACGAGAATGGCAACAGCGAGTGATTTCACTGGTCCGTGCTTCCTGCCGCTTGGCAGTGGAGAGTGACGACATCGGACATGACGAGGGACGCTAAAGAAGGAGAAGGAACGAGAGAGAGAGATGGCGGTAGTGGGTCGGAAGGTAGCGCCGGTGCGGGTCGTTCGTGTTCTTGCCCATTACGGCCAGGTTGGTCGCGCAGTGACGGGGCACAGGAAGGAAAAAGATTATCACCACTCACTCACTCGGCCTCGAGGGGATGAATCCGATGCGTTAAGAAGAACAAGACATGGATTGTCGTCCGCCACACGAGGTCAACGACAGCAGGCAGGAATCTAGCTGGTCAAAGTGTCCGCAGCTGGCTGAAGGGAAACGGAAAGGGAAAGGCAGCCGAAGGGAGAGGCTGCAATTTAGGACTGGCCGACGCCGCGCCTGCTCGTCCACTTATAGCAGACGGCGTGGCTGCTCTTGGTCAGGCAGTTCTGTCGGACCGTCCGCGCAGTTTGATTTTGATGTTCATCACTACCCTGCAAGCTTGGCGAGTGCTAAGCCGCATCGGGCCCAAAGCTCGGGACGAATGCGCCGGGTACGCGGGCGGGCTCTCGAATTGGCCGGGATACCGTGTCAAGAGTTTTGTGCTTTGCTTGCTTGCTTGCCTGCTTGCTTCCCTGCTGCCGCCCCTCTTTCTTTCAGTGCTCGCTGCCGCCGTCTGTTTCGAGGCTGTTGATGGAGATTCCCCCGGTCCGTAGGGCGACAATGGAGAATGCAAGGGGATCCAAGTCGAAGAGACGAGTCCTAGGTAGTCAGTATGAGGGCGGGCAATATGAGTAAGGCAACGGCTTCCTGGTGTGACGGCCAGCAGGTCGACATAGCCATTGCCGTCTGTCCGCATTCGCGAGACAGGCAGGACCGACGACACAGTTATTTCTGGACCTGATTCTCCGACGCCTGGCCGTTGATTACTCCCGAGCGGGCGTGGACGCAATAGCGAATGGGCAACATCACGCATCCACATACACAACACGCTCTTATTACATCTTGGGTCACTTTTTTTCCCCTTGGACGGCGTCCTGCTGTGTGAGCTTCACACGTATCATCATCTGTCGTGTCGGGCTCGTCCGTGAACAAGCTCCCATCCACCGACCACTACAACTACCACCATCACCGCCATTGTCTATGACGGTCCACTCACCCCTACCTCAGCTCTGTGTTCCAGTCTGACACCGCCGTCTCTCCGCGTTGGCATTCGTGACCGCGACGGATTGGCGGCGGGAGAGACCAGAGAAACAAGAGAGACCAGCCAAGCCAAGTAAGTGCTTGACCGGGGTTGCCACGGCCGGCTCGTGTCCCTACCGGCCTGATCCTGGTCGCTGGCCTGTCCTGTCTGTCTCCTCCACCCTACCCCCGGTCACGTCAAATCCACTCTTTTCTGCAAGTTCCAACCACCCACGGTCCCACTGCCTACCTAGGCCTACCAAGTCCTCAGGTAGGTACGGTAGAAATTACTGCCAATCTGCGTCTAGGTATCTTGAACCTTGGCGTTTTTGGTTCATCGGCGAGTGTTGCCGCTGCTGCTGTTACTGCTGTTACCGCTGTTACTCATGCGTACTTGTGAACGTCTAGTCGCCTCGTTGCGCACTGGCTAGCGTCCTTGTTGAATTTCCCATTCTCCCACCTACCTAGGTAGGTAGTCAGTCTACCTAGTAGTACACAATCCCATCGTCATCATCATGCTGGTGGAAATGTAGGTACATTGTAGGTTTTTGTCACTCCTCTTGGCCAGGGCTCTTCCTTCTGTCTGCCTCTTTACCTGTAACCTTCTCCCTCTCCCGAGCCACCACCTTTTCATCTTCGACGCTTGACTCTCTCCTTCTCCTTCTTCCTTGTTTGGCCCTGGTGTTTCTCTTTCCCCCTCCCTCCGTCGTCTATCTGTATTCGTACACTAGTATCTGCGGGTACCTTTTGCTTAGCTCCATCCGTTCCACACACACACCCCCCCTTTCACTTGGGGGATTTTTTATTTTTATTTTTTTTCAACCTTACTTTTTTTCCTCCATTGTTTCCCATTTTACTGTATTTTTATCTTCTGCGTTGCGGGTAACGCCTCAGGTACTCCGCCTTCGCGCCTTTGGCTGCCAGCACCCCCCGCGGGTAGAACGAGAGACACCAAAAACAACAACAACACCACCACCACAATCCCTTCGCTTCGCTGCAGTGCCGCTACCACTCTCTCGTTTCCTTCCCTGCCCTTGCTTCTGTCCGAGGGTGTCACCTACCTAAACTACCAAGTACCTACGGATGCTCCTTCCTTGTTGCCGCAGCCCTTTGCATCTCCCCCACGTACCTACCTACCTACGCTGGGTATCCGTACCCGTGCTGCAGATACCAGATCGGATTAGATACCTACCTACTAATCGACGGTCGATACCCTCGCCCTGCGCGGCACCACCTCACTCGCTTGCTACCTTCCTTGCCTGCCTTTCTCGCTTCCGTCGCCTTGGCACCTGTTTCTTTTCTACCCAAGCCTACCTTACTTTCACCACTTCTCCAACCTCACCCTCACCCTCACCCTCACTCATCTTTCCCCCCCTTCCCTCAAACCTACCATCTATCACAGGGTCACCGACGCCGCCGCCAACCATAATACCTCACAGCCCCTGACCGACTGACCGACCTTGTGCGCATCCTCGGCTCTAGCCCCCAGGCCACACCTTAATTACTCCGGTTCCCAAAGGAAGAAGAAAACCAAAACGGACGCCTGTTCTCATCCATACTTATTGAGCAAGAGGGAGAACCACAATTATACTCGGTCCTGTTGTGCACCTGGCCGGCCGTCTTGCTCCTGTCTCAGACGTCTCCAGTTCCTATTCCGAAATCCGCGCGCTAGTTGTGTCTCTAGGGGCCGTCGACTCAGTTCCTGGTCGTTGCTTGGCCGCGTTGCTAGTATCATTCGCCGGGTTCACTTTGGATTTCACATCTGAACACTCTCACCTTTTCACACTCTCCGCCCATACTTGGCGCCAACACATCTTCCACCGACGCCACGACGCGACCGATTCCTCCCCCGATATTCTCTTTTCCATCGCTCCCGGCCTCGTCGTCGTTTTAGCAGGCACCCTGTCCGAGGCCCTTTTAGCATTCAAAAAGACCGCACACAAGAACCCTTCTCCCCGCCTGCCTGTTCTGGGGTTTCTCTTCACGATAATTGACGTCTTTGTCGTCTTCGCGTTTGCGTCGACTCAACTGCGGTTTCCCGCTCGCTTGGCCAGGCCGTGTAGGACAGGTGCAGCACCTTGGTTTTGAGGCCACTCTCGAACTTTTCATCCCGCCTTTCGCCGACCCCTACAGACGTCAAATGTCCGCTTTGTGAGGGCCTGACTACAGGAATTGTGAGTGCAAAGGCTCCAGGCTTGCCCTGTCGTCGGACCCGAGGTTGACCCCCGAACCTGAAGCGCCCACGTCCCCTCTGTCCTGAATACGGACGCTGACCAATGTTCTCATGGCAGTCAACAGAATCGCCCGCCTAGACTTCACCATCATGTCCTTCGCCACACGCACCACGAGCTTCTTGGGCACTTTGATCCTCGTCTTCCTTTCATGGTCGGCCCTATCTCAAGCCGCGCCCGAGCCCGATCTTCTCCTCCCTCGACAACTGACGCAGACGCTGTGCTCTAGCCAAAATACGGCTTTCACGAACGCAAGTATGTCACCACCCCTTCGAGAAGCGCGGCGGCTTTGCTACACAGCCTGCCATGTATATGGCAGCTTTTAGGCCATTGTCTATGTTTACGGGCACCTCTTGATTGACGTTGATGCTGACAACCTATTTAAGATCTCAGCACATGGCAGTCGAACGGACTCTGCCAAGATTTTTGCAGAGGCCAAAACTTTGCCTTTGCAATCGTGCAATGGCAATCGTGCTGGTGCTCAGATGTCGCCCCAGCGCCGTCAACCGAAGCGGAAGTCAGCGACAAATGTAACGACATTTGCCCCGGCTACGACATCGAGCACTGCGGCGCAAGACCCAACTACTATGGCTATCTGGCCCTCGCCAAGGCTCCTACCAGCACCGCGGGCAGCGGAGGCGGAGGTGGAGGCGGCAGCGACAGCGACAGCGGCAGCACGCTGTCTCCAGCACCCCCCTCTACTACTTCTTCCACCACAGTGAGTATTCCCGCCATGTCCCATGCTCAGTGAACTATATGCGTGATATTGGATAATACCCTTCCCCAAACCCGTTCCCGATATCGCTATCACACTCCATCTTATCCCCCCAACGTGCGATACATTGGCTTAATCGTCTGGAAATCAGGCCCCTCCGGCCCCGCCTCCAACCACCGTCCAAATCATCACAAAAACTGAGATCGTTCAGGCCCCAACAACTTCGGAGCCTGAAACGACCACATCTACAACATCTGTATGCTCTCGTAGTCCCAGCAGAGTTGCCGTGACTCACTGCCAACATTTGACAAAATAACGGGTTATTTGGCCAAAGGATGAACGCTGACTCAAGTTTCAGACCACAAGAAAGCCTGGAACGACTGTCCAGACCGTGACCGCCAACGGTATAGTACGAACTGTCACCGTTACGCCAACGGCCACAGCAAACGAGGGAGCAACGGGCGCCTCGGAACTGAGCCCCTCCAACCAACCGTCATCGAATGGGCCGACCACGGGCGCCGTCGTGGGGATTGTGGTGGGTGTTATTGGCGCTGTTGTGGCCCTGGCAGGAATAGTGCTTTTCTTGTTCTTCAGACGACGGAGACAACGCGAGAATGAGAACGACAAGTATGACGAGCCCAGTCATCGGGGTAGCTCTGCTGGTATGACCGGATCGCCACGCAATCCCGAAATGGTTGTTACTGTGGATGGAGGACGATGGGACCCCGATGCGACCGGCGAACAACGAAGAAGCCGACTGCTCGCACACGACCCTCGCCTGGATCCTCTTCCGAGGGGCTTGTACGTACGAAACAAGAGCGCGGAAAGTATCAACACCCTACGCGACGACCAAGATTATTCGCGCAAGGTTCACCAGCCGGTCCTGCGGGCGACCAACCCTGACCCAGAATGAAGGATCAACGCGGCATCGGGCGGACCAAAATGACGAGAAATTACATCATCGTTGACGACCTACACGAAATCGACCCCGGTACAAATTTCGGTCTTTGCATTGCGCTTTTGAGATACCAGGACGGCGTTTCGATTTCCACTTCACATGAGAGTCCATGAGAGAGGGCATTGGATGATGGTCACTCGCGGGCAACACCGGACATGAGAGAGTTTCTTTTGGAGAAGATCGATATTTGCGTCAAGACACGGTGGGCACAAGGCCCTTAGATGACGAACACGAACATATCACTCGAGCAATCAGAGAACGCCAGCTGGCAGCTTCGATAATTTCATTTCTGCATCCTCTGCGTTCTGCCTAAGACCCCGGGGTTGCGACTGCACAGCATAAAAAATGCACCAGGAGACGTGCGGTTTTCATACTTCAACTAAGTGGGTGGAGAGAGAGGGAAAGCTCTTCATCCATTTTGGGTTGAGATCCGATCGCGAGTTCACAGTCATGATGTTGAGCAGCAATCTGTACATACGCCTTACACGAGACACGGACTAGGCGGACACCAGTGGCTGAGATGGAAGGGATTGGTTACAATTTGGCACGATTCGACATCGCTTCTCACAGCGCACAGCTAATGGTTGACACAAAGTTATCATGACAAACAATAGGATGACCAAGGTGGGAGAAGGTAGCACCAAGTTGGAGGAGCTGCGTCTGGCGAGCCACCCAAGGCTGCAAGCTGTGTAGCAAACCAACAGGTTTTCTTGTACAGTCAAACAGCACGATCGTCATGATTGCCATTGGATCACGACGGGATATCTTTTCTTCTACGTAGTTGCAAGAATATTAATCACACAAGGACACGTACAAACACGTTTCATTTACACTTGAATGCCGCTTGAAACAGGTTCCTAAGGTCAGCCTAGCTCGAAGCCGGCTCCGATGTCTCGGTGATTGGTTCTTTGCTTATTGCTGGTTCGAGCAGAGGCCCTTTGGAGCGTATCTACTACGGGAAATACGAGAAACCGGGACAACGTTGTATGAATTGGCGTAGGGAGATGCCAGGCTCCCCCATTCCCGTCAACGTGTGCGTTGAACGGAGTCCATTTGGGATGCAGTCGCCCTCAGCTGTGGCTCGCGGACATATGACTGACAGCTGAAGAGGATGGGGATCAGATGAAGATGGAGGGTCGGAAGCTGCACGGATAGGCCGTGAACGAGGGGGGGAAGAGCGTGTGTGTATGTGTGTGTGTGTGTGTGTGTGTACCTAAAGCACACAGGTGTTGGCCGATCGCAACCTTTTTGCTGTAGAGTGCTAGGAGAACAATAGGATGGGATGGGAATGGTGATGGGATGGCTGCGCAGCCGGGCTGCTGCGTTGCTGACGTACAAAAAGTTAGGTGTCGTGCGTGCCGTGGTTCACGTCATTTCGCGGCGCTGGTTTAATTTTGCAGAGATTTCCTCCCCCCATCCGCGTTAGATTAGGGGTAGCGAGAGAGAGTGAGAGAGGCGGACTTGCATGTGAAAGTTGAGTGCGAGGGACGGCAATGGTTTCATAAGGCCTTCTTTCCTCGGGCACCCATCGTGGAGCGGTCGTGACGACGGTGGTCTAGAAAATGACGTTTAGAGGCTGTAGAAAAGGGGGGGTGGTGTTGGTCTCTCTCTCTCTCTCTCTCTGTATGGATGTGGGGAGGTAAGCTGATGAGGCTCAACATAGCTGGTGTTTATCCCGTACTGATCGGACACGATGGCCGGGAGGATCACACACTGGGTCAGTGGCGCACGGCGCGCTGTCGAGGTTATGGAAGGGTGTTGAATGCAAAACTGCATCGAGCGGCGTCGATGGTTGGCCTCGTCCATCCCTTATGGGCAGCATCAGCCAAGTGAGATAAACGTGGATCGGATCACGGGACCCAGGGGGGGGGGGGGGACAGAAGGGAAAGATGCATGTTTCGAAACGAGCTGGACTGGGTAGGGGCTGGGGCTGGGGTTGGGGGTGATCGTGAAAGAGGGCCGAATTACATAGTGTTGATCTAAGACTTGGCGTCACTGTGGTGGTGACACAATTGTGTTTCAGAAAGAGGCAAAGCCGCTATCCAAAAGGATATGAGAGAGAGAGAGAGAGAGAGAGAGTCTCGGTTTCCCACCCAGCAAAGTAGGAGGTATCCCAGCCTCGGTTAGTCGTCGTTGAGCCTGGGTCACGAAATACTTGCGGAATTACGTTTAGGATACGAGACTGTCTGTTTTGGTTCGTCTGCGGGGTGCATGGCCGCTCGCTAACCTTTCCGTAAAAGGGCAGTGATTACCGGCGATGCCTTGACAAAAACGTGGCTGAGGGGGGAAGTGGGAATAGCTTCATCTCAGCTTCTTCGCACAAGGGTACCTAGGTGCCTGGGTATGGAGGTAGGTAGTTAGGGCGACATCGTGTACGTACATGCACGCGCTCGGCAAGTGCGGGTCGCGTTCTAGGGGCTCGGCGGATGCACACGGCCTTGGCATAAGGGAATGAAGAAAAGAAAAAAAAAACCCACCGGCATGTGACGTAGTTTCCTAGTCCGTCCGCGGATGTGTGTGTGTTCATCTCCTCATCAGCGTGGATGCTTTGCCTATGCTGCACTGCACAAGAAAGAAAGAAAAAAAGTCAACCGAAAACTGAAAAAAGATTTGACAGGAATGTAAAATTCCTCGGACGAATGACGGTTATGGGCAGCCAAGGTTTAAAGGAATTGAGGAGGTCGAGTCCCTGCATTGGGGGGACATCGCGCACATGGTGCATCACCTTATTCGGAGAATTTTGTTTGAGGCCGGGTTGTCCTTTCCCTTCCCTCCTCTGCTCTGTTACCCCCCTTGGTTTCCAAATGCCTACTCAAACTCAGGCAGGAGGATGAGAGAGAAGGAGGGAACCCGTCGCGTGGATCCCACTCATCCTTGACCCTGCTAGGCTTGGGTACGTTTGTAGAGAAATAGGTAGGTAGGGTAGGTATCAGGAAAATGGGAATGAGATGCTACCCCCCCTGTAAAAGGTACGTACGCGTTCACTCTTCGGGGGACGACGCCTCACGATGCGTAGGTTATCTAGGGTGGTAGTCAGTCAGGCGCGACCTCCCGTCCAAGCCGGCGGGAGATGAAAGTGACTAATCGTCTGGGGACCACACACTACCTAACCTCACATACGTGGCAACTTAAGGTAGCAATGTTGATGAGATGAAGCACTGGCAATGTAATGTTGAAGCACTTCACATGGACGACACTTGCGCCGAGGGTGGAAGGGAACCCCCCTGAAGGCTGAAGGGAAGCTGCGTTGCATTGCTGCGTTGCTGCGTTGTTCGCCTACTGCTGGAGAAGGGGCTTCGCTCTCGTTGCCGTCTCGTCTCGCTGCTGCTGCTGCTTGCAGACTGGACTTGGACGTTGATAGGGTGGCCCTTGTAATCTTAGCCGGGCGTCCGCTTTAGCGAAGCCTTGGCACACAGCCCACTCGTCAAACGGTGGAAGGGTAGGAGGCGTTCACTCTCTCTCCTGAGAAGGGTGCGAGACGAGATGGGCGAACCGAACACCGGATGCTGGTGGTCTGGCTCCTCCTTCCTTGCTACCCTGCCTCTCTGCTGTTGTTTGCGTCGTGTGTCGTGCGTGGGTGGCTGATTTGACTGCGCGTGTAGGTAGTAGTGTAGTGTAGTGTAGTGTAGTGTAGTTTATCCGTAGTGTAGTGTATCCGTATGCCTGTGTCTTTTCTCCCCTCCGCTTTCGCACCCATTCATTCCATCGTCGCTTCATCTCTCTTTTCCATACCCACGACAACCAAGTAGTCTGTCTGTCTGTCTGTCTGTCTCTTATCACCCCCCCCTACCTCCCCCCTTCCCCTCCCCCCTTCTCTAGTGCGTATTTTGTTTATTCTTTCCTTCCTTCCTTCTTCCCTTCTCCCTACCTGTTCGCGCGGGATACGCCCACGGCCGCAATCCACTACACCACAATTTTGTCCCAAGACCATTCCCCCTCGAAGACCAGAGCGACGTCGATACTCGAAAACGGCAACGGCCACGACCCCGGAATACGACCACAACCGATACCTGACTGTAGCTGTGCGACGCGCGTTTGATTTCGCCGTGGGATTGCGTAAGAGAAGGATCGGCCTGGGCAATATTGTTGGCGGACTGGATGGGGACCATTGATTGGAGGCACACTCAATTATAACGACCCCCCGAATACAACCAACCCTGCTTGCCACGAAACCAAAGACGAGCGACCATCGCTGCATAGCTGCCGCATCCCATTGAGAAAAAGAGCAGGATAAGAGCGCGCCTCGCTAGACGATAGAGCCCAGATTCTACTACGCCTGCCCGTTTAACACTCTGAGCACGCGGCCCCTGCCGACGCATTCGAACGCCACGAGGCAACTCAACATCTGCCAAGATCGACAACCGCTCGTTCCTGCGTCTAACAAATCTTGGCGATCGTCATATCCGCTCAACCCACCCGTCGCCCTCCACACCGAGCGACGCCGGTCCCTTATCACCATCTTGTCTTGCTTCTTCCGCTCTTCGCCCGGCTCCGAGTCGTCTGTTCCGTCTACAATCATCAACCGAAGACGACCCTTCTCCTTAGGGCCGTGGCCCGTCATCATGAACCTGACATGCAATTCAACGCTCGAGGAGCTGAGGAGTACGTCATCCTGCCGGGCCTTTCCTTTGAAACATTTGCCAAGCGGCCTGGAAAACTCACACCAGTCCAAAGCTAACATGCTCGTCCATCAGTCCTTCCTGGCTCCGAGATCCTCGTCGCTGGCCCTCTGACATTCCATGACCTCGCCCTCGTCATCGCCGGCTCCTGTACCATCATCGCCATCTCCCTATCCTTCTACCTCATCTTCATGCACTCCGTCAATTATACCAAGCCCCGTGAGCAGCGCCAGATCATCCGCATCCTCCTCATGATCCCCGTCTACGCCGCCTCCTCATTCCTCCAGCTATATTACTACTGGCATGCCGTCTACTTCCAACTCATGAGCGACTGCTATGAGGCCTTCGCCATCGCCTCCTTCTTCTCCCTCATGTGCCACTACCTCGCCCCGGACGTACACACCCAAAAGGACTACTTCCGCAACTTGTATCCCATCAAGCCCTGGGTTTGGCCCCTTAACTGGTTCGCCAAGTGCTGCGGAGGGCAGAGGGGCCCGTGGCGCACCCCCAAGAGTGGCCTGACATGGTTCAATGTCATCTGGATTGGCGTCTACCAATACGTCTTTATCCGCGTCGCCATGACAGTTACGGCCGTTGTGACCCAGTACTTCCACCGCTACTGCGAGAGCTCCAACAACCCCGTCTTTGCTCACATTTGGGTAAGTGCGCTCCTCCTAATAGCTTCAAGATCCGTCCTGGCTAACATCCGCAGGTTATCTCCATAAACTGTCTGGCTGTTACCATTGCTATGTATTGTGTCATCCAGTTCTACATACAGATGCGCGAGGCCCTCAAGGAGCACTCGCCTTTCCTAAAGGTTCTTGCCATCAAGCTCGTCGTCTTCTTCTCCTTTTGGCAGGTCACATGCATCTCAGTAGCTACGTCTACTCTCGACCTCGTCCATGCGAACCGGGTTCTCGCATATCCCGATATCAAAGTCGGCATTCCCGCCCTTCTTCTCTGTTTCGAGATGGCCCTGTTCGCTCTTCTTCACCTCTGGGCCTTCCCATACGCTCCCTACATGCCCGGCGCCAAAACCACATTCTACCCATCACCCGACGCCCGCGACATCAACGCGCATCTGCGCGAAAATGTCCACTCCGCCCCCAGCGGTGGCTGGATGGGTCTCCGCGCTATTGGAGATGCTCTCAACCTCTGGGACTTCGTAAAGGCATTCGGACGTGGTATGCGCTGGCTCCTCTGTGGTGTCAAGCGTCGCAAGGAGGACCCCAGCTACAAGTCCGCTGCCGGCGTAGACATGGACGACCTCGACAAGGGCGGCGACACTGCGTATCATCCTGCTGGTCTCAAGAGCACAGATCACCTCCCCATTGCCCACGAATTCCGCCGCAGCACATTCCTGCAGCCCTCGCGACCGCCTCCCCGGCCTGCGCGCCCGCACCACGAGAGCGACAGCCTCATTGCTCACGCGCAGCCGAACCCCTCACAGATGTCTCCGCCGCGCCGCCCACAGCGCCCACACTCTCCGATGTCGCCCATGGTATCGATCCCGCCGTACCAGAACCAAGGCTTCCACGAGACGGGCATGGCCCCTGTGCACCACATCCGCCAGGGCCCGAACGCCAACTGGGAGAGGCCATCACCCCCATCGACGAGCCCGATAGCGGGGCCGCGTGACTTGACGCAGCAGCGGATCGGAGAGGCGCTTTGGGGACCACAAAGCCCCGCCAATCCTGCCATACTGCCCGAAAGCCCTGTTCTTGGGTCGACCTTGGGCGATTCTCATGGGCACGGACAACCAGCACGTGGGAACCAACCATACGAGGAACCGAGACCCGGGACGGCCTTCTAATTGATGTAATGCATATATCAGCGCAGTTGGTCAAAATCTGGTCAACGATACTGATTTTCCGTCAGAGAGATGGTCCTCACATTATGGGAGCTACACGATATTCGGCCGTTGGGTGTTTATTTTTGGCATGCATGGGAAATGGCGTTTTGATTCCTTACGAGATACCACAACATTTTTCATTCCGATTGATTGGAAATGAAACAAATCGATTTTAATGAAATAGATTGTCAAATTCAGTGTGAACCCTTCCATCCATGCGCCGCCGTGATCCCATGAGCTTCTGCCGGCAAGGGCCTATGCTAGTTTTATATTTCGAGTACCACGGCGTCCGGACTGGCGTCGACGCCCGTCCGCATCGCCGTTGACAACCATATGCGGATTGGTTATCGGGAATCCAGCAGAGGAGGGAAATGGAGATCTGCTGCTCGCATGTGAGTTCTGACCAGCACCAAGAGCGAGAATTCTCGACAGGGGGCGCGATCTTTACCCCTCTTGCCCCTGGGATTCCTTCTGCACGACACGTTAGACGCCATCACCATCGTCGTCGTCTTCGTCATCACACAGCCGCGGCATGAGGTAAGGCTTCACACATTCCAACGCATTCAACACGTGTCGGGGTTGACACCACACCATTTTTTGACCAAGCCCGAACCATCGGCTTCTCTCAAGCTGAACCGTCCCCATTCTCCTCCCATGACTATCCGCATATCCGCCATTTTCTTCCCCCCCCCCCCCTTTTCCTCTGCTCCCGTCCGCCTTCGGAACCGGACGGGTGCCACCACTCGTTCTCTACTCTGCCGTCTTGTACAGTTATACAATGCGTTGCCGCTGTCATTTCCATTGTAACTAGCCTTTCCATTGCTCTTGCTTCCCTCCCCCCTTTCTTCCGTTGGCATCAGTCCTACCGGGGTTTTACTGAACGCTGACCACGCCCCGTTCCGTCTTTCGCGCAACGTGTGTTTTCTTCTTCTTTTCTCAATTCATATCTTTACATGTTGCCATATCTCGGCGAACGGGAGCTTCGATCCTTCGTTCACTTAGAGAGTCCCCTTTTGGCTTGGTCGTTGTACAAAGTGCGGCGGCAAAACAGAACCGTTTTTGGGGTATCATATAATAATAATCGCTTCGTTTTTCTCTTTTTTGCCAAGGGATGAATCATTACGAAAGGCAGCCCTGTTTGCCATGCAATGCCCCGGGAGGAGTCGAAGCAAACCGGAGGTCGAGTCATCATCTTGTTCCTTTGTCTCGCTCAAATTCCAAGGCCTCTTCTTTTGGCAATCCTGATGGTTCTGAACAATGTTGTGGTTTTTTTTTGGACACTGAGTGGATTGGTTTTGTGTGTATCTGAATGTGAATCCGGTCTTTGCCTCTTCGTGACCGGTGCCGGTCGTGCAAATCCTCCAAGAAAAAAAGTAATACTCGTAGATAATAAAAGCACGCAAAAAAAAAAAAGAAAAAAAAAAGCGATAACGAATGTTTTTTTCGTTGAGGAGCGCGGTCTCTTTCTCGTCCATTCTATGTGCGCGTCGTCGTGTTGACCAATGGCATCTTCATCTTTTCCGCGCAGCAACATTACTTTTTCTCTTGTCGAAATTCCCTTCCTTCATGTCGAGTTTCAGTGCGCTCCTGCTTATGTTCTAGGGCCTGAGACTTCTAACGTCTCTGCCTCTTCTCGCGATCGTTCGAGAGACCGACAGCATCTTCGCTCCTCCGCTTTCGCCCTCGGTCTTCGCGCGACTCGCGTCGATCGTCGGTCGGCCTCGATCCCCCTTCGCGCGGTCCTGTCCTAGATGCGCCGCGCGCACTTCCACCCCATTCTTCGCTTCTTCCGCCCGAACCACCTTCTCCACGTCCACCTTCTCCGCGGTCGCTGCGATGACGCGGCTCGCGGCTGCCACCCATGCTCTCTCGGCTAACGCCATGAGGAGCGTTGACATGGGGGTCCCTGGTGCTGCTGGATAGTTCTCGGCCAGATCGCCGGGGCTCGCGGTCATCGCGGGTACTGGACTGGCCTTGTGCTGCAGACCTTCTGTCCCTGTGTTCACGCGGTTCCTTGGCGTCTCTCTCGCGATCGGGACTGCGCTCCCGCTCGCGACTGCCCCGCCTCGAGTGTCGGCCACGTTCCGACCGATGTTCACGTCGGCTACGGTCGTGCTCGCCCCGTGGTTGTTCATCACCGTTGCTTTGTACTCTATCTTGACGGATGGGATCCGGACGCTCATGTGTCGGTGTAGATACCGGCGATGCGCCTGTCAGAACTTGAGCATCGGAGCCAGCGATACTACCCCTGGCGACTCCACGCCCGCGCAAGCTGGTGGCTCGGTTGCTATCCGGCATGTTGGCTTGTGCTTGTTGCAACGTGCTGTTAATACCCGCAAGCTGCCTACGACTACCGCCACTCCGGCCTCGGTCATTGGAGGACGGCCCAGAAGGCGCACCGTCTGTCGGACCCGGGTAGTTTCCTGTTGGTGTTCGGCTGTTGCTGCCTTGGCCTCCAGATGAGCGGTCAAGTGTATTGATGGGTGGTAGAGATGGTCGGGAATGGCTGGGAGGCTGGCCTGAAGGCGGAGGCGGCGGCGGCGGCGGTGCGATCTGTGCCAGTCGGTCAGGATGAATTCCGGGAGCCAATGTAGGACCGCCAGATGATGGCGTGGGCGAGCCCGTCGGGCCCGAATTCATGGTACGGGTTCGATCAGGGTGAGTGGCCTGCGTCGGGGTCATCGCAGACGGCGGGTTGACGAATGCATTGGACTCGTACTGGTTCCGACGCCCCCTACCAGACGCTGGCCCCGTAGGCGGGTATCTCTCTTCGGGCGTTGGGTTGTCAGTGTTCTGAGGGAAGCGTGCGTCAGACTTTGAGGTGGGCGTTCCCATGGGACCGCCTCGGGCTGCTCCTCGGCCACGACCACGAGGTCCTAGAGGAACATCGTTCGTGACGACTGACTGAATAGGGTTCAGTCGTCCATAATTCTGATCCTGATGGGTGTTCCTGCTGTGGTCGGGATCTGCGGTTCGACTCGAACCAAGGAAGGCTTCTCTGCCTTTGTCTGAGCCAAATCGATCTCCTTCCCTATCTGTTGTGCGGTCTGGTCTTGGATGAGAACCAAGAGGTTCGCCGTGTACATCTCTTCCAGAGGGATGATGGTTTGAATGGTGGGAACGGCCATGCCTGTCGTCTCTGCCAGCTTCACCTGGTACGTCTGGGTTGAATCGTCCGCTTCTTCTTGGAGAATGCGTTCGAGGCACGCCTCGGTCCCTGGGATCATCTCGCGCCGGACGTGCTGGGGGATCTGGCCGCGAGTCTCCCATCAATGCAGCGCGCTCCGGATTGAGGATGTCGGCGCGATCTTGATCGGAACCACGTGGCTCTTGACCACGTGGCACTCTACCACTACGTCGATCTGTTTCTGAGGATCGAGGTGGTCGCTCCGAGCGGCTAGGTCGGTCTGGCTGATCTGCCTGAATAAGGGCCAGTCTGGCAGGGTTTACTGGCGGGTCCTCGGGGGGATTTTGAGTGGACGATGGCGGCGGCGTGGAGGCAACGGGTTCTCGCGAAAGCCTGCCAGACTCAGCAGTGCGTCCGTTTGTCGGTGCTGGTCTGTCGCGAGAGGGGCGGTTGTCACGCTCGTGGGCGCCTTGGTCGCGGCGGAGAGGCAGCGTGTCCTGCCTGGAAGGCCAATCTTTCTCTGAAAGGCGGCTGGGTTCTCTGGATTGAGTATCTGGCCCGCGTTTATCTTGATTGGCGAAATCACGACCACGTTCGGGTCGAGAAGGCTCTGGGAATCTAGGATCTCTCGATGTGTCTCGCGGGTCCCGATGATCTCTAGAATCCCGAGATTCCCTTGTGTCTCTCGGACCGCGGGGTTCTCGTGGTTCTCTCTGATCTCGGCGGTCCGGCAACGCGTCTGGGGTGAAGTGAGTCCGTCCGTAATGTCCTGGAATGGGGACGTCTGGTCGCTTTGGAAGACTATGTGCGCTTCTATCAGGACCCGTGGGCGTAGGAGTCGACTTGGATGCATCCCGGTGGTTCGCATTGCCCTGTGTCGGAGTGGCAGCCGCTGGCTTGGGCGTCGATGGCTTGCTTGATGCAGCGGAACCGAAGTCTACGCGTCCAAGTACAGGCTTGGCAGACTCCACGGGGGAGGCCGATGGCTTTGGAGGCAGGTTGGGGTCTTTTTGCGTAAGTGTGCCTGGCGCAGACGAGGCCGCGGGCTGAGACTCGGCATCCTTGCTGTCTTTGACTTCTCCGTCTTCCTGCTCTGCAGCGATTCTGTAGAAAAATCATTAGTTGAGAATCGTGTCAGCGCACTAAGGACAACATACTTGGCCGATCCTGGCTTGAATTCAGCCGCTGTTGGGCGCAGGTTAGCTGCACCGCTAGACTCGCCATCCTTGGCTTTCCCTTGAGCTTGGCCGTTCTCCAAAGATGTTAGCATATGCCGGAATAGATGATTACTTGCTTCGCTTACCATGTTCGGTCGGAAGCCGGCTGGCAACACCCATTTCGCCTTTCTCCTTTGCAGCTCGGATAGAGCACCTTGAGCAGCGACAGAAAGATCTACTCGATGACCTTCCTCTCCAGCGGATGCATTCTTCGATGCCGCCTCACGCTCAGTGATTGTCTTGAGCTGCTCAATGAACTGGTTGCCCATGAAAGTTACGGCAGGGAAGAAGTCGAGAACAGCCTTGAGCACCGTCATCGCGTTGCGAATATGCATCCACTCCATGCCACCCAAGCAAGATTTCAACGCCAGGTTGAGCTTGTTGTGCCATCCATACAGAATGTCTCGGAATTGCGCGTGATCATAATAAGATGTCGGCTTGCCGTTGTCATCGAATTCGGAGGCGAAACCGAGGAAAAAGCTCCGCTTGCCCACAGCTTCCCTCTCGTAAACGTTTGTGTCGCGATGCCATCTGGCAAGATCTTTCAGGATGCAGTTGAGAAACCTGCCAAGATGCTCGGCTTCGCGGACGGTGCAGGTGAAAATCATCGCCCTAAGCCTGTTGACGTTGAAGAGTCTATCATACAACGCTTTCAACCGGAAGTTCGGTGCGCCAAACGTGTGAAGCTTCTTGAGAAGTACATAGCAGTACTCTGCATCGCTAGCCGAAAGTACAAGTCGCGGAAGCAAGCATTGCTCGAGAATTGCGTCCGAGATGCCGTTTAACTTGGTTGCTGAGCCTGGAAACCATGTTGCCATATGCTCCGACATGTAATCTCGGACGACTCGCGCTCGCTTCATCTGAGAGTCGGCCTCCTTGGGTAGCTCATTGCTGATCTTGAGAAGCTCGGCCTTTTTTGCCTCTTTCTTGTTCATGCCGCTGCGGGTCATGTCTGAGCGGTCTCTGTTGAGGTCTCTTTGCATGTTCGAAAGCCTCTTGTGAGCACTGTTGTAACTTGCGGCAGGCACTTCAATGTCACCCAATTGCAGTGCCCAGAACAGAACATAAAACTCGGGACTGAGCTTGGTCCATGATGATGCGGGTGTGATGGAGCGGATTGATTCGACGATAGGTTCGAGGGCCTCATGGATCTGGCGCAAAGAGTCCTGTTTCGCCTTTTCCCGAACCTCGGCTGGCGTCATTGTTTTGTCCTCCGGCTCGGTCGGCTCTTCGGTCGTGTCTTTTGCCTCGATGGCATTCTGGGCCATAGAAACGTCTCCATCTGCGTCGGTACTGCTTGGCAATGATTCGAGCTTCTTGGTGAACATGTTGTGAGAGACACCTTCTCGGCCAATGAGGAATGCTAAACTTGCGTCCAGGCCAAACTCGTCCATGAGACGGGTAATGGCAGGCACCAGAGTGTCGAATTCGTGGGGCTGCAAATTGGTCCGCAGAAGATCGAGGTATTGGACCAAGATCTGGTGGCTGTCGTCGATGACAGATCCAATATACTTGATGTGTGCTTCATCGTCTGGAAGTTTGTAGATGGCAGACTGTCGGTACTGCGCAACATTGATGAGCAAGCGCCCTGCGAGATTCGAGTCAACGAGCGACTGCATCAAGCGCTTGGCACTGCGGGTCGACTCAAACCGCTTGTCTTGAAGACTGAGAAGCGTCTGCCGCCGCAGTACCTCCCCTCCTGACATGGCCAGAATTTGGTCGTCGGTAAAATCAAGCACCTGGACCACACCACCCATGGACGCCACGAGCTCCTTGAGAATGATGAGGTCAGTCGAGTTGCCCTGGAAGAGCTGGTCGTTGACATATTTAAGAATCGGAGTCGGGTCCAGAATAGAATACCGCTTGAAGACTTTTCCGGCAAACTTGGAAAGCGCCTGAAGCCACTTGCTGGTCAGCAGGATAGAGGACTCTTGTGTGCGACTTCGTTTGCCGCCCAGAGAACTCATCAAGGACCAAACCAGGACGTCGTATGCCAAGTCGGTGAAGTACTTGGCACATTCGACGAACGCTTCAATGAGGTTGGCGTATGACTCGATTTGGCCCAGTGCTTCCTTGAAGACAATGCCGGGTGAGGAGTAACTGGTCTTAGCCAAGGACTTGGCCATCTCGCTGAGGTTAGTGAGAGAAATGCGCTTCATTACTCCTCTGGTTTCGACACGGGTCCGGGTAAATGCAGCCTTCATTGCTGGCAATCTGGAGATTTGGCCCTCAAACCACTCGGCGTAAATTGAATATCGGGTCGCGACGGGATAGAGCTTGAGTAAATCCCATACAGAATTGACAACGGCCGCATTGGCTGTGGTCATACTGAGTGCGGGGACCAGGATGCGCCGCAAGAGCTCCTGCCATCGGTCAATGTTTTTTTTAGAGCGGTCCTCCGCCAGACTCTTGGCCCCGATGCTGACAAGCTTAGCGAGCAATACAGGGTCCTTGCCAATATTGACACCAGAGAGATTCAGGAAAGTATCGCATAGTGTGAAGATGTCATCGACCGTCTGACAGACTGGGATGTTATCAGCCCATTCGTCCCAATAGAATCTGTAGTGCTGGTCTTTGCCGTCGAAACCGTCTGGGAACGGCCATTTCATCGACTTCTTGACCGGTGTGGTGCTTAGTTTGATGGTGCCTTTCGCAACGCCGGTTTGGTCGACATCGGCAATGGGCTTCGAAGGGCATTCGGCCGAGCCGACCGCGGTGGGTTTGCTTTCTTTGTAGACCTTCTCGATGCTGTGGTTTAGGATGCGGTGGATTCGATCTAATATTTCTGGGTAGGCCTCCGGAAGCCAAGGGAAACGACCGAGGATAAAGAGCGACTCGGGGATGGCGCCGATCGTTAGCAGACACGTAAGTAATGCTGCCTTTTGCTCCATAGGTTCCGGTAGCGTGTCCTTCTCGTCCGTGCCCGTATCGGCTTTAGAGTCGGCATCAGTCTTTCCAGCTGCGTCTCTGGTGCGCGTCGTAGGGGGCGGTGCCGTGTCGTCAGGCAACGCGCCAGCCATGAGAAGAGCATTTTGTGCAGCGCCCGGTCGACTTTGTCTTTCCTTTTCCTCCAGCTCTTTCATCTTCTTTTCCCTCAACGAGTCCATCTCTGCGTCGAGGGGCCACAGATGGGGATAGATATCCACTAAGGACAGGAATCCGACCTTGACAAGGAGGGCGACAAGGTAGAGAAGATTTGCCGGCAAGACATCCTCCGGATCTCTGGCATCAGAGGCGTAGAATCGCAACTTGAAGCCAAGAAGCTGAGCGGCCGTTCGATTTCCCTGTGGAGGAAGTGTCTTCGTGACTTTCATCCATGCGGAGGCGGCATTGACTTCGGCCTCAGATGCAGACTCGGATGCCTCCAACAGCCTAAGATGATCGTCTGTGACTTGCCTTCCTCCAAGCTGGAAGAAGGCATCGATGTGAAGTTCGCGTGCACGATCCCAAAACTCAACGTCACGCTGACGTCTGAGCTCAGTATTCGCCAACTCGGCTTCGTCGCTCGTCATCCAGTGGGAATGATCGGGCAGGGCCCAAGGAGGTAGGCCGCCAGTATGACTGATTGTGGCAGGGTTTTGGTTGCGAGGCCACCAAGAACTGACGCGGAGAAGCTTGATAAAGAACCGGAACTGCTTTATAAGCACGGCAGCAAAGACGTCCAGCGTAACGTCAAGTACTCTCCCGACGTCGAGGTCGAAAGTACCAATCAGTCCCTTGAGGCGTTCAAAGGCTGCATGAGCCGTTTCTGCCGTAGGTGGCTCTGCGCTGCTTGTGGTGAAGAGCTCGGTCATCAGCTTAGAGTAGCCTTCGCTTTCTTCGCGCAGCAGATTGTAGTTGGCTTGTCGGTACAAGAGGTTGGTCGCATGTCTAATTCCAAGCTTTACAAAGGTTTCTCTGATGAGACCGAGGTCTTGAAGCAGCTGAGCATCGAGGGTTTGGCGAACAAGTTCGGGCGAAACGCCAGTCATTTGAATAAAATCGCGAAGGTGGGGTTTGAATAGATTCCGGTCGTTGTCGAAGATGATGGACAAGGTGTCGAGAAAGAGGGTGTGCGGCTCGAACGAGAAAGAATCCTTAATCATTTCTTGCGATTCGGTGCCGAGTATCTCCTTCATACAAGCGCCAGCATCGACCGGCGAGAGCCGGCCCTCGACAACAGCATGAATAAACTCTTGGTAGATAGTGGTCAGTTCCTCAGTGTCCACATCCAACCTCGAACTGATTCCGTGGTCGATCAAAGCCTGTCTGCCACCGCTTGACCATGAAGCGATCGCATCATCGGTGATGTGTTCGTAGCAGTAGCTTGTGGGCACCGGAGACGGCGGATGGGAGATCGGGGCAGACACTTGCTCCATCGGGGTCGGAGCGGGATGTTGCGGCTGCGACGGGGTAGGGGGCGGGCGGGAGACGGTCGGAGATGTGACGCGGGAGGCGCTCGCAGACTGGCTTCCGGACTGTGCTTGTGCCAGTTGTCCTTGAGCGGAGTCTCGTCGATCATTCCTTCTGTTATTCCTACCACCGCGGCCACCTCTTCCACCGCCCTCGGAAAAATCTCGATCGCGTTGACCTAAGGTCATGTCTCCAGGTCGATGGGGGGAGGGTCTGTTGCCTTCGCCAACAAGACCACCACGAGCCTTGCGCTTAGGAGGCATCGTGCTCTCTCGGTCGCGGTATTGTTCAAGGTAGCATTGGAGACGCGCGACTTATCCCCTGGCGTCTTTCTGTAAGTAGTAACCCGAGTCAGTAGAGTTCGAAAATTCTGGGCGCGTGGAAGACCGGAAGGAGAGATACCTGATGCTTGAAAGATTTGGGAAGCTCGTCGCGTGCAGCTCGATGAGTGCCGTGCAAGAAGAAGATTGAAATGGCTAGTACAAACGGTTGGACCAATGAAATTATTTGCCCAAGAGGAAAAGAGCTGCAATGATCACGGACAAGGATCGCGCTCTGACGTTGGTGTTTTTTTTTGGGGGGGGGATGTGGCTGGATGGTGATGATGGACGATTTCTCGCGTGAAGAGGCCGTTGCATCACAGAGCTTCAGATCCACCGCAAACGGGTAACAGCCTCACGGAAGGCAAGGCTGTACAGTGTACGTGCGGATAGGTACGTACCGGTCGGCGGGATTGTAACCCAGTACTTGCCATCTATCCTAACCCCCAATCAACTGGTTGCCCGCTGACTCATCAGCCCCGCGCAGCCAATGAACCGTCAAAAACGACGCTGCAGAGGTACCGATACGGCGACTACCTACCTAGGTAATGTAAGGTATCCATCCGTACTTCGGTACATTATTCCGCCATTTTCGGCGTAAATCTTTGGCTTTTCTGATTGAACGTTGACCTGTCACAGTCACACCGAGCAAGTTCAATCTCTGGATTCTTTTTTTTCCCGCATACCTCGACGTTGCTGAAGAGTCCGAGTCTGTGCAACCTTGCCCTCCACCTATCTGACCTGTAGCTTCTTCAGCATCATCAAGCTTACGAGCGTTACCTCCTGATTCTGGAGGCTTATACTGCCCCTCGTTCATTCCGAGATCGGGATGGCTGCGCAAAATCTACAGAATGGCGCTCAGCCGAAGTATGGTCAGTATGGTCCTTTACCTCATCCTACCTCAACCTTCAATTGCACATCCCTTATTTATTTAATCTCGGACTGAGCGGCCCAATGTGCTTTTCATGCGTTTGCCCTTTACCTCATGTTTGGTCGCACACCGCATAACGTTTCCACATGTTGAAGTGATAAGGCCAGTTGCTGAATACCTGTAAGAAAGAACCCAAACGCAGCCTGAGAACCCGTTTGCTACCCTGATTCCGGAGCAACAGTTCGCCATCATCCCCGAGTTCACTCTCGAATCGGGCGTCACGCTTCACAATGTCCCTGTGGCCTATACCACGAGAGGCAAGCTCTCGCCTAACGGCGACAATGCCATGGTCATCTGTCATGCCTTGACCGGCAGCGCTGATGTCAGTGACTGGTGGGGACCTCTTCTTGGAGGCCCCGGCAGAGCCTTCGACACATCGCGGTTCTTCATCGTCTGTATGAACGCCCTCGGAAGTCCTTACGGCACTGCGAGTCCGGTTACTGCTAAGGATGGAGATCCGTCAAAGGGCAATTACGGCCCCGAATTTCCTTTGACTACCATCCGCGATGACGTCAAGTAGGATGAGTTCTACCTGTACTTGAGGCAAAATGACTGACCCATTCCAGCCTTCACAAGCTCCTCTTGGACGACCTTGGCGTCAAGCAGGTCGCCGCAGTCATTGGTGGATCGTTGGGTGGCATGTTTGTTTTGGAGTGGGCGTACCTTGGCAAGGAGTACATCCGATGCATCGTGCCCATTGCGACATCAAGCAGACACAGCGCATGGGGTATCAGCTGGGGTGAAGCCCAACGGCAGAGCATTTACGCAGATCCGAAGTACGACGACGGCTATTATCCCTTCGATGACCCCCCATCGACCGGCCTCGGCGCCGCTCGCATGTCTGCTCTTTTGACCTACCGCAGCCGCAACTCTTTCGAGTCACGTTTCGGGCGCAACATCCCCGACCCTTCCAGACGGCAAACAATCCGCGAGAGGTCAAGACCCAGCACACCGTCCGAGGCGCACTTCCACATCCATAACGACGGCCACAACGTCAAGCGGGCCAGCCTCCCGCGTCAGAATAGCCAGAGCGGAACCGTAGAAACGCCAGTCGACGGCACTCCGGCCCAGACGGCCACGGAGACACTGGACCCCCAGTTTCATGGCCCCCAGACGGAGAGTCTGACTGGAGGCGACAATATCCCTACCTCGACCTACTTCTCCGCGCAATCCTACCTGCGTTATCAGGGACAGAAGTTTGTCAAGCGTTTCGACAGCAACTGCTACATCGCCATGACGAGAAAGCTGGATACGCACGATGTTTCCCGTGACCGTGCCCCGACCATTGCCGAGGCCTTGGCATTGATCGAACAGCCTACCCTGGTCCTGGGTATTGAGAGCGACGGCCTGTTCACGTTTGCGGAACAAGAGGAGATTGCGGAGCATGTCAAGAACGCTAAACTCGAGCGAATCGACAGCCCCGAGGGTCACGATGCGTTCCTGCTCCAGTTTGAACAGGTGAACCGCTACGTGCTGGGCTTCTTGAAGCAAACGTTGCCAGATATCATGGAAAAGAAGGGCGAGGAGGTGGAGGACACCGGCGTTGGCCAACTGACCAAGAGTAGCACTTTTGGAGAGGCCGAGGTGGAAGATATCACTGCGTGGTAAATGACCGCACCCTAGAAGCGAGGCTGGAATGGGAAAGCGCTGGTGCTGTACATATCGACGGATCGAGTTGTTGTTTGGCTGTCCGTTTAATTCAACATAACTAGAGTTTTTCAACAACTCAGCGATGCAGGGAAATGGGCGGCGAGGGGTTAGAAACAAAACTATATCATTTTGCGATGGCGTAAAGTCCGGCTGGGGTAAGATCTATCCGGAATGATACTCGTGCTAGTAATTGCCGCATTGCCTAACATCCGTTGACCAGCTCTTTGCTTTGCGTGGATGGCCGCAGCCCATGGCACCCGCAGGCGGATTGGCGATTCATGACTCCTGGGCCTACTTATTCGTCCGTGGCCAGGTGTCGCCTGTTGCAGTACTGGTGCCAAGACCATTGACTCTGAATGCGATAATCAGATGCCGGTGGGCACCGTACGACACGCGGAACAGATACCATTGCCGGCCCGGATGAAGGACGTATTGCAGCGTCAACTGCGCCGTTGCAAGAGTCCTCCCAAGCCTCCGGTCCGGCAACTTAGTCTTCCCACCTCCCCATCGGCAGCACAAATATAGTAGTAGGAAGAATACGGCTTATATCGCCGTGTCGTCGAAGAGGCTCGCGGTAGGGAGGGAGACTGCGTGGGATGCGTATAGTCTTTCAACTCTCCCGCCGTCTGGGGGAGTCTTCCACAAGGGGAAGGCAACTGCGAACTCTACACGGAACGCAAATCGAGCAGTGAAAACTAGGAAGCCGGGATTTGAGGATGTCGCACCTTGTGCGGTAAATGGATTGCCTGCCGGACGGCCGTTTCCAACAATATCGGTTCGAAACGAAACTTTATTCGGAAGCAGAGACCATAAGCATACCACCCGGTGTGCAAAAAAAAGTGCACACTTTAGCCCACCCACACCAAATGCTCCTTTTCCCTACCCCTATGAATAGAACCATTAAAATCCAAAAACTGCCATATAAATAAGTGATTTTAAATACTTATAACATTATCTACTAGAATTATGTCATTTTGCCCTCCCTCACAATAGTTTCTTTAAGTCGCTGGGGCATTTGGTCTACCCACTTGTTAATAGTCTCTTGCCGTAACTTTTGCTCCTAGGCCTTAATAGCTAATTCAGAAACTTTGCCCTCATCCCAATGTGAATACTGCCTTGACGTGTGCACTTTTTTTTTGCACACCGGGTGCATACCTACCTTTTATCGTTTCTGGTGCGCGGGTAGATGAAGATGTACGGACAAAGGCTATTATTTTTGGTTTGGCCAATCCTTAACATGTGGTCAAATCCGTAACTCGATTCTATCTTAAGACACTGGAACGGTGTTGAGAGGCGAACTCACCTAGGCGAACCAGTGCGGACGTTGAGTTCCGCAACACAGAGGCTATCATGACTGCTAGAGCAACAGCACGTGACCCCGTCCGTTTTCCACTAGTATTCCTGGTTTTGCTTCCTAGGTAGGTGCTTCAATATTCGCCGTCGGCAAGTTTTTTATTCCCAAGCTACATCTGGTGTGGGCCCAGACGCTATGTCGTACACGGCAATCCAGACCTTGCTGTTATGAGCTGTCAGCACCATAAGGAAGGAGCTGGTGAGAAATTGGTTGTACCAAGAATTATTGGTTTCTTGACAGCAACACTGGCTTGTTGACGGTACATGTATTGTATATGGACCGGACTCATGACACGGTCACCAGTTTCAGTGTCATTGGGTGTGCAAGGAGATGCGTCGGCTCTCGTCCCAACTGTTTTTTTTTTTTTTGTCCACCAACATTACTCCCGGCATGTCGGTAAGAGAGGCGTGGACAGACTGGCCTACCACTTTTGTTGACTTCTTACGAAATGCGAACCTTTTCCACATAGGGCCATAGGCACGCAGTAAACGTGGAAGACCTCGGTCTTGGACGTCCACGTGCCATAGGACATCCTTGTCAGTGGCTTGGGGAATCCTTGTCAGAACCCCCTGTTCGGTAAACCCAAGCAGGAAGATAGGTAGTAGGTAGTTTACTCCGTACAAGCAGGGAAATCCATTTGTAGGAGCCATTGCGAGGGGCTGATAACCATTGTTGTGAGGCGGACGAGACTTGGTTCGCAGAAAAAAATGGAGAAAAAATTACCTTGGCTGGCAAGTGTGAAGTACGGAGTCATTGGCTCGAGGCGGCCAGCGCAATAAATGCCAAGCCCAGTCTCCGGAAGAGGCGAAACAAGATGGTGGCAGCCACTAGCGCTGGGCTATTGCTTCAAGGACAGGTCTGAAAAACAAGGGAATCGTTTTCAACGGGTTTTATCTCCGCCATTAGAGTGTGTGAGAGAAAGAGAAAGAGAGAGGCAGGGAGAAATAGGAAGAAGGGGAGATATGAGAAGAAGACAAAGGAAAAGGGGGATGAAGGATAGACGAGGAGGATAGAAGCCCCCAACGTCAGCAGAGGGTGGGCGTCCAATCGGGGTAGACGTTCTGCCTGCGTCAAGGAGGGATCGGTATGGTCGGCATTCCAACGTCTTTCTAGAAGGAGCACCCCTGTTGTTCTCCAAGTGTGTGTGGGGGCAGTATTCGTAAACACACTAATAAGAGGAAGGAACCACGACCACAGTGCATATAAAACGTGGCTCGGCGTCTTGGTAAACGGCCAGTAGTGCGTGGATCTGCTTGGCTTGGGATGCACCTCCCTTTTTGCCGAGTCTGCTTGTGCTAGGTATATTGCCATTGCCTCTTATGTATCCGTACCGAACCAGTGGACCAGTAAGCATGTACACGCACGCGTTCTTGTGATGTGCGATCGGGGCCGTCGACCCATCTTCCTCCAGCCCTCTCTGCCCCTTGGACACCACCGGCGCCGTCGTTTTCAGCACGTGGTACGCAGAACCTGCATGTCGACCATGTTGACATTGTCACTGTCGATTCCTGTCCGTAGATACCCGCTCTTTGGCTTCTTCGCCGTGGCTGTGTCAACGAAGAGGTCGACATCTTGTCTGCCATGTCGGCATGTCTGACAGAGACAAATGTCCATTTCTGGCAGAGACAAATCTCCATGTCCGACATAGATAGACAACTGACATAGACGAGTCTCGGTCTCTGGCACTGGACAAAGTCTATCCGAATACCTACTGCATCGATCCCTGTTTCTAGCGCGTCGGCTTGAGACACACTGACCACGTCCCCCAAACGCCTGCAAACTCTCTTCTGCATGGGTCGAGTCACCTTCTCAGCCCTGTCTTGTGCGCTTTTGTCGGATCCGGGACCACTGTGTATTATACTCAACAACAATATAGTGACAGATGTGAATCACTCTGTTCCTTTGCCGCTACCGACTCCTATCTTAAACTTCTTCCGACCCTCAAAGCCGAGATTATCAGTTACCTAACTGCACACGGACTCCGCGACCCGGAACCTCAGCGCCTTCATATCTAACACGTCTCGCGGACGCTACCCCCTCTCCTTCCCACCCTCCTCTACCTACCTAGGTGCTTGGCACCCCCGCCTTGCAACTTGCCTGCCTTGGGGAGCCCCTGTCAAACCCATGCTCAGCTCCTCGCCCCATTGCCTGGGACTGACGGAGAGCACGAGGCTCCATCTTTCGGCATGCGCCTCTGTGACATGGGAGCGTTTTCCTTTAAACCCCCCCGCCACCTTTACATTCCGCACAGAGTCGAGCCGTCTATTAGATTACAACCGTGATACTGAACGACCTGCTATCTCCGCTGCACAACGGCGACGTCTCATCTTGCAACGCCCGAAACAGCGGCCTTCGATACCGACCGTGTGACAGTGTCGAATTGTTCGCGAATTGCGTGTGAAGAAGAGGGTGCCTGGACTGAGGAAAACGGGATCAATCGATTACACACGGACTGTTGAAACTCCATCATGGCACCCGGGGGCGGGCGAACGACTGCGACTTAGAACAGGCAAATTTGCCATCGCGAACACACTCTTCCTCACCGCTCCACTTCTCGAAAACGCCATTGTTCCGAGATGGACAGCGCGCTGCCGTCACCGATGGCCCTCCCGCCCCCCGCCGATCGAATTCACCGGCGGACAAATGGGGGCAACAACGCCTTCCACAACTTTGCAAACGACTATTCTCATATATCAGATCCCAACTTGCGAAGAAGGCTGGCACTGAGCGAGATTGACAAGGTCCCTTTTGGCTTATACCGTTTGTCAACACCATACCTGAACGCCATTGTAACTGTAGACTGACACGCCCCTCATAGATGTAAGAGCCATTCTGGTTGGGGGGGTTGGCTTCTTCCTCGATTCTTACGACATTTTCGCCGTTAACCTCATCACCACCTTGCTCGGCGTGGTATTCTGGCAAGGACCTCCCAGTCAGCACGCACACGGTTACGGCGGCAACAATGGCGAGCTGCCAAGCTCCGTTAACTCGGCCCTGAAAGCATCGACCAGCGCCGGTATCATCATCGGCCAGATTCTCTTCGGCTGGTTGGCCGATGTATTTGGTAGACGGAGGATGTACGGCGTGGAGCTCGGAATCATCATTTTGGCCACCATGAGCGCTGCGCTCGTGTCGCCAAGCCAATCGGTCAGCTTCACCGGACTCATGATATTCTGGAGGGTCATCATGGTAAGCAGAGCTTGTTCAGACGCAAAAAGAATATGCGCGTTAACAATACTTCAGGGCGTTGGTATCGGTGGTGATTACCCACTCAGTTCTGTCATTACTTCAGAGTAAGTTGGACCATGAATCAAAAGTCCTATAGCAGCGCCTCTTGGGACTGAGACATGATGCAGGTTTGCGCCCACCCGCTGGAGAGGAGCCATGATCGCTGCCGTTTTCTCGATGCAAGGTATGGGTCAGCTGGGTGCTGCCCTCGTTGCACTGGTTGTCGCCGAGGCGTTCAAGGGCTCCTATACGGACGTGCACACTCTCAGCGACTGCCACGATCGTTGCCAACTGGCAGCTGACCGCTCATGGCGCATCATCGTCGGCATGGGCGCAGTACCGGCCTGCATAGCCTTATACTACCGAATCACGATCCCCGAGACGCCTCGCTACACCTTTGACGTCGAACAGGACGTTGAAAAAGCCGACGCCGACATCCGAGCATACATGGCGAGCAAGTCCAAGGGAGAATACGACCCAGAATTGCAAGCAAAGATGAAGAAGGAAGCTGGCCCCGCCTTCAACACACCGACTGCGTCTTGGCCCGATGCCTGGGCGTACTTCTCGCAGTGGAAGCACCTCAAGATGCTCATTGGTACCTCCTTCTCATGGTTCTTTCTGGTAAGTCAGGCAGATGAAGAACGCATAACCATGACAAACGAACTCACACACATTCGACAGGATTTGGCATTCTACGGCCTCGGCCTAAACAGCACCGTAGTGCTGCAGACCATCGGCTATGCCGATGGTAATAACTTTTATGAGAGACTGCACAACCAGGCAGTCGGTCTCATCATTCTGGCGTGCGCCGGCGCCATCCCAGGTTACTGGACATCGGTGTTTACGATAGATACCCTCGGCCGTAAGCCCATCCAAGTCATGGGCTTTTTCATTCTGACTGCGATATTCTGTGTCCTCGGCTTTATGCTTCACCAGCTCCCCAACCCCGTCTTCATCACAATTTACGTCATTGGTCAGTTCTTCTTCAATTTTGGCCCAAACACCACGACCTTCATCGTCCCCGGCGAATGCTTCCCGACGCGGTACCGCTCTACAGGGCACGGAATGTCGGCAGCGATGGGCAAGGTCGGCGCAATCCTGGCGCAGGTTATCAGCATTCCTCTGCTAGCCAGAGACGTCTCGGGCGATTGCCACGGCGATCACTGCGCTCCCCGGCTTGACCGCCTCCTGGAGCTTTTTGCCCTCTTCATGTTCCTGGGTACGCTGTCTTCCTTGCTGATCCCGGAGACGAAAGGCATGACGCTGGAAGAACTGGCCGGCGAACCTCCGACTTCTTATAACCGTGGCCGCAACGGCAGTATATTGAACTACCCCCTCCAAACCACAAAGTGGAATCCGTTCTCCGGCGGCCAACCGGCGGGTTTCCACTACCCCCGCATCAGAAACATAAAAACCTCCCGGGTCGGAATCATGACGTCCCCTGTGCTTTTAGCTGAGGAGCAGCGTCAGAGAAGGAGTCAATCCCGTTTCTGGCATAAGAAGAAGGAACGAGGCCGGGAGAGCAGCGCGAGCGGCACAGAAGATTACACTAGGAATTTTCGCAACAGCGGCGTCTCCTCGGCATACGGACGGAATATGGGCACTGCTGATGAGCATATCCCTCCAGATTCGATGGCCCTCGAAGTGCTTCCGACTTGGGGCGCCGGCTGGGGTCGAGTGGATCGCGGTGCACAGCCGATGGACAACGTCAAGCTGCACGATGTAGGCAGTCTATTACGAAGGGAATCCTATAGAGATTCCAGCAGGGACTCTCGAGCTTAAGTGTGTGTGTATATACTACTTTGGGACAAGCGGGGCGTCACGGGTGACCTTTTAACCGGCCAATGCCCCCGTGTTTGACGGCGGCGACGTTGGATCTGCCGAGGAGTACATATTTGTCTAGATACTTTAGTTTTGTCTTGTATGATAATGCCCGTCATGAGACCGTCCACACGGTTACTGTAACGTTTTACGAAACTCTATCCGTAATATATCATTCCATTCATCTGTTGCTCCGCCCTACGAGTGTTTTCCGATTAAGCAGAATGGAGAGCTTACGTCCTTACGTAGTGTTGGTGCTAGGATGTATCTCTGGTCTGCTTCCACCGATTCCTGCCCAAGTAGACCACACCCAGGCGCTTTTACGCTGCTCCGTAGCCATCGGTGGACCAAGGAGGCCTGAAATTGACAGCAAGCCGTGTCGAAAGGTGTCGTGTCCTGCTAAAAGCTCGAAACATAGAGCTCATTGGATGGACAGATCTGCGCAACCACAGAGTCTTTCACACTCACGAAGCCAGGTGTAACGTAGACTGGCTCTCGAATGATGAGTTCTCCAAAAATGGGCTATTAGGAATGGGTCGTCCTAGGAGAAGGACAAGATGTGGATGCTATCCGATGTTCGAGATTCGTTCGCACCGGAAGGTGTAGAAGCTGCCTCGACAGCATCGGCGCTCGGGATTTTTTGTGACCGGAAACTTCATGGTTCTCTCAGTTTATCATTGAAAGCCAATTATTTACAGACTTGAATGAGGCTAAATGGTTGCTTCTCCAGACTGCCGAACAGATCGTTTTACAAAAAGTGGCTGACGGTTGCGGTAGAGGGGGACAAGGGTACCTGTTGGTATCACAGGCGATCGATCGATGGCAGCAATAGCGTATATTGACTATTTGCTGCTGAAGTTGTTGATCGATTAGTCGAAAAAGAAGAAGAAGGAGAAAGTGGCCACTGCCGTGGATATCACCATGGTGAAGGTGAGCAACCGAGGCGGGCCACGTGACCTCGGAGCGGCCCCACTTCACCACTGGTCGAGCCGGTTGGTGATATCGCAACAGTACCGTAAACTGAACAAAGGCGTCGAGTCTCTCGGCCCCTGGCCAGCGTACAAGCAATTTTTCAGATGAGCTATATATCACAACGAGCTTCGTTATAATGAGGCTTCGTGGATACGGGGAGCAATGCGAGAAGTCGCGTGACTATCCGCCAGAAGAGTATTTTGAGCGTTTCTCATATTCAAGCACTTTATATTTCACCTCATGCCTAGGTAGTTGTTCGCTCAAACTAATCATTGTGTATCTTTTCTCCCCACAGTCAATGGTAATCTCTGGTCTGCTGTTGACAGAGAGCTTTAGGTGGGAGACGTCGGACCCGACGTCTAGGCAACACAGATGTGAGACATATCCTCGTCACCATGACGCCCTTCTAAAGCTACAACCGAAATCTATCTTTGCCAATTCCGCCGTGGAATTAACATCCTTGAAAGGCCCCAGAATGAGCTTGATGAGATGATGCTGAAGGAGATTTATTGTGTCATCTGTGTGCTTGATCGCTTCCGCTACATGGATCCTCAACCCTGTTCGACGCCTCGCTAGCTGCCGAGCTACTGCGCTGGAAATTAAAGATGCCCCGTCACGATGCATTTCCCTTTTTTGATGAAGAATGCAGCGCCGAAGAGCCTTAATTTTGCCGACAGCCTCGGTAACTTACCCGTGGTTACGTACAACCTTCCAAGACTGGCATGGTTGATTTGGCCTCTGGTGCCTCCGACAGTATACCTGCATTAGGGCGTGGGCTGTCATCCGAACCCTACTAACTGACGATCATGGACTGAATGTGCTGTTATTCTCTTCTGCTCCACCGGTCTAGCCCGTTGGACGCAACGAGCTGGAGCCTTTAAGCAGAGCACCTGTTCCGATCGCCTGCTATCACCGGTGGCGGAGCTTATCTCTGATGTGGCCCGCCACAAGCCACATAATCCACCTAAACAATGGATGAAATTCCACCTTTGTCAACAGGGCAACCCGCGATAGCTTCTTTTCTCCCTCACTCACAATTGAGAATGACCTCGGTACCCCAACTGTTCGCCAGCGCTTGAACCTGGATTGCCACCCCTGCAATGCCAACGATGCGACTATTCACACGTGGGGATCGTTCAGATGTAGGGCGAGTGGGTGGGTGGTTTGAGAGTTACTGAGGGCCGAAACATCCGAGCCAAATCCTACGCTAAGAACGATTGGACTGCATGCGGCGGTCGTACATCGGGGACGATCTATTCTCTTGCTTTGGGTAAGCAAGAGAATAGGCCGCAAACCTGAGCCTCGGCTCCAAGTGGATCTTATTCAATAACGACCCAATGGCCGTTACCGACAATGTGTAAAGGCGGTTCACCTATGCAGTTTACGTCTTTAGCCCACTGTGTACTTAGACTATGTAGATTAAAAAAAAATTAGTGTATCTGAGCAACCCTGTTTTGGACCGCCTTGTACTTGTACTTCGTCGAGGACGACAGAGAATGCAAGATAGGAAGAGAAGGGGTAGATAGGCCATGGCGGGAGTTGATTGGCCAGACGATAATATATCATCAATTCTGGGTCCTAGCGCCAAACCTGATGCACATAATATTTGTGTAAACCTATTCTATAGTCCCCACAGCCAATGAGACACAGGAGTTTGTAAAGCAAAACATAGTAACCAGACTGGCTATATACCAAAAAAAGACAAAGATAAGAGAGGATGGTTGAATTTGCGCCACTGGTGCACCCAGTCAGTAAAGTGTATCTTTAGTACTGGAATCACGCAGATAACATGCCATTTTTGCAATCAATGTTTTTGGGCTTCGCAACGGACCACCACCGTTCTTCGTTATTCTTCTCTTCTGTTCAATGGCCAACAGCTTCTTCTTGTCCTATCCAAGACGAAGGTCTCCCACCACCACCACCCCGCCACTTTCTGCCACATGAATGTGCATTCCTCCTCAAATTGTTCGACTGAGTAATTCGTGTGTCGTTCAGCTTCTGCTATTCGGCCTACATTCTAGCAGGTACCAAACCAGCACAGGTGACCCTGAGTCATGTTCACACCCCGCTTGGCTTTTCGCAACCCCGAGTCGCTTAGTATATATGGTCTTCCGAAGCTTAAATATGTGGAGTTTGCTATGACTTTGTCTTGTCTTGCGTTTCCCTTGTTCAGTAGGATGTTAGTGGCTAAGGTGCAGATAGAGCTACGGTGTGTCTATTCGAGGTTGAGGTTTTGCAAGAGAGTTGAAAGCGGCAAAACACTGAAGTTAGGTCTTCTTATCATTGTTACAATGGTGCTTCGATCCCCTCCGTGCGTTCTAGGTAGGCAACCAAGGACATAACGTGCCACTCGGCATGCATCTCCCCGCACTTTAGACTCCGGCAACTCAAACCACAGTCGCGGGGTGTCTCCATATTAATACATGTCAACTGATCGTTATGTCGCAGAACCTCGTACTACTCGGACTCAACGTTCCCTTTTGCATGGTACATGATATCTAATCAAATGTGGGTTGCTTCCACTTTATGATGGATATAACATATCACACCGCGCATCTTGGCCGGATCATCGCGATTTACTGTTTTCACCGCTGCTACTCCACTTCATTGAAGCAGTTCACTAACACGAGCCTCCAGCTTCCGTCTTGCAGTGCGACGTACTCGGCTTTGGGCTGCACTCAGTCCAATTTCCGCCAGCAAGGAGTTTCCCTCCACGTGCGCCAGTACGCATCAGCTTCGCGGCAGCTGGGGCAATGTTAATGTGACACAGCTCTTGAATCGTCAGCAGAGAAAACAGCCGAGGTATCCGGATCGAGAAGCTCACCGCTTGCAGTTAGTTGCGCGACATGCTGCTCGCCACATGTGGGAACGCAGGAGAGAATCCGGCATGTGGCTCGAGAAGCCACAGGGGTGTCAAGCTCGCCCTTACGAATGTACGCCATCTCGATGGCTGGTTATCTACTGTCCGTGTCCGCGCTGGTAAGATTGACCAGGCCGATATGCCTGAACCCTGATCAGGAGTGCCCAGGCCCACAGCGCCCAGCATCATGACTCCTTCGCTGGCGACCTTGTACGAATCCGTTCACAAAAGCCCCAACCCACGTGTATGAAAAGCGAGAATAAGTCAAGGTCCTCGGAGATTATGGTCAGTTCTTCATGGCTTTGCTTTTCCTAATAGCCGCTCGTAAGCCGGATCGGACGCTGACCCCTGTGCGATTTTCAGCACGTGTATACTCCGTACAATACGTGTAATACGAAGGGCTGGCGAAGTGGGTGGGTTATCTCGCCACGGTTGAGGTGGTTACCTGAACGGTTTATTACGTTCAATTCGAGCCGGCCGAACAGTGTGTTCAATGACGGCGATAAGGTCTGACCAAACAGGAGTGGAAGCACTCTACGGATACTTTCCAGCTTATTTCCGTTCATTGTTTAGGCCGCGGACGTCACCGATCCAACGTTGTACATAGTAGGGAAACACGGATGTCGCACATGTGTCACACAATTGCGGTTAAGACTCCGGTTTCAGCCCATCAACCCATAATTTAGCACCGCCAAGGTGAACTGCAACTCCTGGCTTCCCGGTATCCGCTGTAGACGGGCGCCCCTTCCGTGCTGATCAACTCAGGATAGCGGCAGATGCATGCTGGCTACGGTGACCTCTCTTTCATCCACAGAACACTCTGTCTTTTCCGTTGTTCTGATACAGCTGTCCACCCAAAGCCTCTGACACTTGCTTTGTAGACTGCGGATCCTTTTCACGAGTTGAGAGTTGACTCGTAGAGAACTGATCAAACGCTAGAAGATAGCTCTAGCTATCATCAATTAGGCACGTGGCTAATCAAGGCCGGGACATTGACATCAGATGAACACCGCGGGAAGAGAGCGGGGGCTATCTCAAGAATCGGATCACCGCGTCTCCTTTCTCAAGGATTATATCCATAACTGCCCGTCATGAATGTGGTCCGGGTACTGCATCAAGCGCGAGTCTTGTGGTGGTGCGATTGTGCTAAGCTACTGATTCAAGGCGGGCGGTACGACTGTGTAGGAGCAACCAAAAGCCGTTGCAAGGGTTCTCAAGGGAGATCCCGTATTGGCCGCGTGGAAGCGAATAACGTTATCTTGACCATGCCTTGCCTACAAGGGGTCAAAGCCCGAGTTTGGGAACGGCCGGCCGTTCCGTCGAAGTCTTTCCATCTATCATCTTCATCCTTACTAACCTAAGTCAAGTTCGCATTTCGGCACCTTCCCTAATTGCAAAACTAACCTTCCCTATCCCGGTATCAAGTGCGTGCAGGCTACTGATTTCTGCTAGGGTACACTAATTGCTAGGTTATGCATTTGAGTGAGGCATGAGCAGATAGGTGCTGGACTACTGACGATCTTAGCACAGACAAGTTTAATGTGGACCATCTAGCTAGATGTAGTTAGATAAGTCGATATACCATGCTTGCATGGCGAACTTGCCCACACTCATTACGGAGCATCCCTCATCAGTTGTGTGGCTGGACCAGGCCGGCCTTGACTCAGGTACGTTATCGAGAGCAGCCGATCATCCTCGTGGCGTGCATGAGCATGGGAGAATTCGACTGGTCGTACCGGTTCTTGATACCCGTCAACACAAGTACTTGCCCAGCTGTGACGGAATCCGCGCAGGTGCGTCGCTTGTGGATTCAATACGACTGTGGCAGATCGTGTTAAGCCCAGGAGTCAATAGTTGATACGGATTTCCTAGCACTCCCGCTCAGCTGCCTGTGTGGGCGGGGTAGCATTGCAAGAGCCCTCCACGTGGTAGTGTAAAATGAGAATGGCGCTCATCTTTCGAATGCCATTGCCGAGACTGGTTTGGAGTGCCACTGTGGAGATGGTTCTGTGTTGCCCAGAAGTCGTTGCCACCTCGACGACATGGCGAATGAAAACACCGCAACCAGGCTGTGAGACCCA